AAATTGTTAAATCGGAACTTTTATTTAGCCCACGAAAGTTTTACGTTTGGTAATAATGTAGCATTTTGAGGTAGCCTTGGTTTATTATATATATTTTTTTGGTTTTATTTATATTTTGGTTTTAAAATAACAATATTTAATTTATTGTTTCAGTGATAGATTATCTGCAAGAGATTGTTTGACACATCCCTGGCTGAAGGTAATTTGCTGTGGCACTAATCAATCTGCAGTAATTATCGAATGGGAACTGTTCGTATTTCCTCACCATAACATTTTCCAGAACATCTTACGAACTTTTTGATGTCACTTATGTGGCACTTATGTATTCTTCGGAAATGAAGAAGCAATATCCCTCATTTGGCGTAAATGTAAGCTCGGATATTTGTCTGCGGACATTGTCTTTTTCCTGAAGCGTAAAGTTTTCCAATAGAAATCTCGAAGAAAACTGTGGGTTTTGAGGACCAGATGATGACGAAGGATAAATATTCTGTATCAGCCTATTTTAGCCAGGTGGAGCCTATTTTGTTTTATTGTCCTTCAAATATCTTAAAGCGCGCAGGAAAAAAATTGGGTACAAACAGCTTACCGCAAAACAACTTGTACAACATGCGATGTTGATTGTCGACCAGTGATCTGTTGTGGCCAAACCAGTTTACTCCATCTCTTGTTCCAATGAAAAAACCCTCTACCATCTTAAGTGAAATCGTTGACGAAGACGGTTATCGAAATGAATTTGAGGTCTAAAAATCAACGAATATCACTTAGGATTATCATTGGGTTTACCATATTCCCAACGTTTGGTTTATTTCGTCATGTGATGTGTCCTCACCAATCGCTACCAGTAGGTAGAAGTTGAGTTAAGGTAACCACACCACGAGAAAGACCTTTGGGACCTTGTTTGAAGGAACTACGAGGTATAACTATCAACCTGAACTTTACAACCCTTCAACAACAGCAGGTACATTAGGCTGGCGTTCATATCTGGAGACAAGGGCGAAGAAACATATACATATTTTATTTACCCATGAAGATCTCCAGCCTGTATTATTTATTTCATTCAATTTTAAGTCTAGGAATATTATATCACAGTTTGAATTGCAACCCTTTCTCTCTTGCGAAAACCTTCATGGCCGTATAGCATATCTTTTATCAGTCAGCAGGATTGTTAATGTGTCGTCCAGGATTATGAAAGTAACCTTTGAAAACCAACGTCTCTTCCTCTAGTGCGTTATAACGACACTAATTTACTTTTTTTATGATCTTAGACGGACCTTGAAGTGGCTACGAAGAGAAAGAGTACCTTGATCAAAACGGACACTTTTAAGGCATTTCTGGCCAGGACACAATGGAAGGTAAAAGTGAAAACATGATGTCAGAATACTGAATCTTTTGATCTTTTACAGTGTAGGTGGCAGTTCTTCAGTTTTCCTTGAAGTGCTCCAGTATTGAGAAATTGAGGAGGCACATCGCGTGGGTGTTTTTATGCTAATAACTAACGACTCTTAGAATTCAATTGTTGTAAGCCTGTGTTTGGTCAGGGAAGAGCTATGAAATCATTTAGTGGATTTACTTTGGTTGAAATTCGTTTTATTTACTCAAAATTGAACGTCAGCGGCTCTCACGAAATTTTTTTAGGAGCTTTCCCCGTTTACAAGATTTTCATCATATGCAAAAAAATTTTCTCTTCCAACAGAAATCCTTGAAGAAAGTAATAGCTATAAACAGACTAGCGGTTCTTGGAAAGAGGGGTGATGCATGTAAAGACTTGTTCCCTGAGGTTTGTATGCAGTGTAATTCTATTTCTGTAGGTTAATTTAGTTTGCTGGACCTTTCTCCGTCGTATGTCAGTATTACAGGTGGCAATGCAATCAAAGTTAATGTTGAACCTATCAACAACGGTCTCTCAAGGAAAAAAAGGAACTGGTTTCTAGGTTAAAGTGTTCTCTTTATACTCCTTTCGTGAATAATAATAATAATAATGACAACAATGAAAATAAATTAATTAACCACTTCCCCAATTTGCCTTTTTAAGGCCAATCAAATCAGAAACAGACACTGTGAACAAACATAATGTTTAAAAGTCTCATCTTCCCAGAGGCAGACCAGTAGGCTATTTAAAAGGGTCAGGCATGGAGTTGAACTCGGGAGAACCGAGAACAAACCCAGAGCGTAGCAGGATGAAGGGCTTGAACCCGGGACTACCAGATTACAAGACTAGCGCCCCAACCACTCGGTCACACTGCATGCCTCCTCAAATATGATATCCCTCACTTCAAAAGCCAGGATAACCAATCATGAACTGTGTTCTATCCTGCAGGGTGATAGCTGCTCAGACGCATCAGACAGTGAGACAGAAGCTCCAGATCACAGTCCTGAGAAGAGAACCGCGCCAACGAATTCAAAATTGCTGGAGGATAAAACCAACGCGGTTCTTCAGCTGAATGACGGGGAACAGTTGAAAAGTTCATCTATCGATAGCACACCGAAAAACTGCTCGGATGCTCTGAAAAGCAATATTCTTATGCTATTATCTTAACAAGGCAGATGCAAAGTATTTAGGACTGAAATGTAGCTTACTCTGAGAAAAGAAAAAAACAGTAGTGTAACTAGATTATTCCCTAGAGGTAGGTAGCAGGGGTTTCAATGAAAGCTGGTTATGGCCACCTGTAAGACCTCTTACTGTTGTCTTTTATCCTGCTAGCCTCTAGATTTCAATTTTTATTGTCCCGGGGAGCTTGACCCCAGACCTCTCACGGCCCGTTTTTTTCCGGGCACAGCCGCCTATTTCACCATCGGCAGCCGCCGTTATTGAAACCCCTGAAGAAAGAGTCATAAGATTATTATCCAAACCATCGAAAATTTATTTAAGTTAGGAAAAATATTTTCAAATTGGAGTATGAAATTTTTCCTGAAGTAAACTAAACTGTGTATCATAATACCTAGATGTGATTTGATGACGTGTTTAGAGGTCGTAATTGTACAGTGAAACTCATATTTCAGCAAACTCCGGTTAGAAACTGAAGATGAAGGAAATGACGAAACATCCCGTGACCATTGAAACAATTAAAAAATGTGATCAATATAGAAGTTAAAAAAGAAAGTGTATATTAAAGAAAACATACCGTTCAAAGCGAACTGAACTGATCACAAACTAATTCAACCAATCATGATGAGATATAACATCAATATTTGTACATTAAAATCAAAACCAGCTAAACGCAGACGTCATTGGAAACCTACAGTAAGCGACAATCGATAATGTTACTGTAAACCTTTAGAGTCGAATTTTTTTTTTCGGGTCAACCTTGGCAGGATTTTCAGTATAACAAGCGACGGGTTAGAAATGGTCACTAACTATTAACGGTTATTGATGGCTATCTATTTTTGTTGCTTATTATAGATAGTTAACATTTCTATACAGAAAGATTTCTTTTAATAAATATTTAATTAATGGCATGCGTAAGGTGAGCTAATGGGTCAAGTAGACCTACTGTAGAAGTTAGCCCAACGCAGGTTTTCTCATGAAATGAAAACAGCATTATTTACCATTGTTTTTCTCAGCTACTTTTAGTGGCTTACCATCCCTAAGCTGGGGATTTTTTAAAAGTATAAGAAGAAGTCTCTGTAGCCTGCTGAGCATACGTGAGTTTGGTAAGCGAGAGTTCAGTGTCTTCTTGGTGAAAATGGTGAAAAATATAGCTGCCTCTTTTGACGTTTACGGCAGCGGAAGGCTGGGAAGAGAAAGAAATTTGTACCAAAGGGACGAGGGACGGTCAAAAGGAAGGAGAGAGGGGCTGCGGCAATAGAATCTTCACGTCTTTCTCAACCCCTTTTACGCACTGTCCACTCTTCCTCTAAATCAAGCCCTCGTTTCAATAGATATATTTTGTTTCTCTATGAAATTGTAATGGTCATGATTAATTAGTACCGGCACAGGATATCGTTTGTTAAATGGGAAAATCCAACTCGAAACAAACATATGATGCATTCAGATCTATCTCTATTATATTGATATGTTGTATTTGTCTTTGTATTTTACTTTGGTTGTTTTTCTGTTTTCGATGCCACGTGTCAGTAACTATACTCGTGGTTGACAAAATGGGACTCCCTCGATTTTTACTATCATGCACTTCAACGGTTCATAAAATGATCTTTTTAAGACTAGTTCGTGACAATTTCTTCCTCCCCTTGTAAAAAAATTGAATGAAATTGCCCTACCCAAGAACAATTTGTTATTGAACAATTCTTTGTGTGATCAACGAATTTCCCATTTGAGAGTGATGGCTTTAACAGCAAACGGTTAAAATTTTTGCAATTTTACAGTTAACAATCAACTTCCTTTTTTTTATTAAATGAAAAAAATTTAAGGTTAACTTTTTTTTTTTACGACGAACGGTTTCAGTTTGTCAAACTTGTACGCTTAACAGCTAAACTTTTTGCAGTTTTACGGCGAACTGTTAACCCCATTGAGGCCCTCTTATTAGTTTTTTGATACCGCTATTTGGTTTTTCGCTTGGAAGCATCATTCTTTGATGCAACAATTTTCTTCTATGCCATTTGCTCACGATAGCGAACTCTTTTCTTTTAAAGTTCTCCACATTTAAAATAAGAACATGTTTATACCGTTGGTTCAATTTCCCACCCCACCCTCCCCCCCCCCCATGCATGGACGACAGGCAAATTCCCGTGGGTGATGTTGCAACTTCGAATGCATCAAAACATGGTAATTAAACGAGGACACTAAAAATGGTTCAAATCTATTGCCAACGGCGACGATTTCCGTTGCTGGACCTTTATTTTGTGCCTTTTATCCAAATTATACATGTAGTGACAACGTTAAGGTAGCCATCCTCGTGATGTCTTTATTATTTGGCAAAAAAAAAACTAATATTTTGGAGAACTAGAAAATGCTATTAGATTAGAAGAAAGTGTCTTGATGGTAAGGTAAAATTAATATTCCATTTAAGTAAATAAAGCAAAATGTAACAGTAAGTTTAACACTAATGTGGACTTGGAACTTTTCCGAGTTCTTTTTTACCACGCCATTGTTTCCTGAAAAGACAATAACATGAAACATTACAATAAAAAAAAGCCCTGCGTACCTTATGTTTGCTTTGTTTTCGCATATTTCATTAGTTATATAGGTTTTCTGCAAGTTGTTGAAGAAAGAGCTGGGCAGTGTTTAGAGAGAACTACGTTCTACAAAGGGATAGCATGCCAGCCATTTCAAAGTTCTTTTCATAACTTATTGGGAGGCTCAGAAGGATCTGAGCAAATCATTTGAACGCGCCCGCAGTTATAGCTTCCCCATTATGTGTTGAAAAACTCCTGTGGATGGTATAATACTGAATGGTAAGCTATGACAAAAATAACTTAGGGGTTAGATTTCAAATTTTTTAAAATTTACATGTGTATATTACTTCTGAAATTAGACTTATAGGTAATAAATTCAAATACTTACGAGTATGATAGGTCACGAAAAGGTAGTGATGATAAGTAATCAGGTTTAGCATAAAATTGGCCTTTCGATTTAGTTGTTTCTTCATTCGTCAAATCTTTTTCAGTGTCGCTATCGGACACTTCCCTTCTCTTAATAACCGGATGCAATTCTTTAAGCTTCTTTTGCAGCTCAAGCACATCTTTTTTCAATTGCAGATTTTCAAGTTTTCTCTGTGCCTCTGACAGCTTAAGTTGTACAACGTCTTTTTTGGCCTCTTCCAGTGACTTTTTCACGGAATCTATATCGGCTTGCATGTGAAGTTCCACTTGCTCCAACTCATTTACCCTTTCTGTTGTCTGAAGCAGCTTGGACCACGTTTTGCGCAGATGTTCCTCACATGACGCAGCAATGTGGGCGTTTAGATTGCTCCTCTTGTCCTATGAATTAAAGATTGCATAACAATACAAATTACGTTGATAGGTTTTTCCTATACATTTAATATATAGTGCTGCCAAAAAAACTATAATTACACAATAATAAAACAATCTACTTTTACAAATCATAACTACCTTAAAATGTTTGCAATGATACTCTTATTCTACCAAAGCTATGATATTTTTCACAAACAGCCTCGATTGGATTGCATGCCTCTGAAAAGCTTCTCGGTTCATAGAATAAGGGCCAATAGAGGATGAATAAAAAAGATTGCAGGCAAAACAACAGCACAAAAAATTACAATCTAAAATTACAATCTAGTTATGACATCGTGTTCTTTAGCTTGAAACCTTGTGACACGGATTAGTTCCAAAGGTGCGAATTCAAACCCGGCCAACAGCGAAGATTCAAGTACTCTCTAACATTTATACAGACTGGTATCTTCCTGCCATCAGTAGAGTGGCTCTACCTAAAATCGTGAGACTCTATAAGGACATCTTTATCTACTTTACTTACATAAAAGTTGCATCCCGCTTCACGGGACCAATGTCATCATACAATCATCCATTACGTGGGATTCCACCTGAAATAGGTCGTCACAAATTTGTTGTTGTTATTGTGTTTACATGATCAAGAATTTAGCCTTGAGGAATTTGGGGACTTTTGCGTGTCTTGCGATTGTAGAGTGAATCCTGGAACCCTAATCTGAGTAAAGTTGATTTCTCCTTCGCAATCCATTTTGACTGAGCCTCCTTTTCATAGTCCTCGCGTTGGCAGAAATGCCATGATATTAACAAGAAAGTGAAAAATAGTTGGATAGCGAAACCTTCTTTCACACTAATGTTCCATGGTAAATCTTTCGTCTACCAAAGTGTAGAACACACTTTTCTATTCACTTCACTTTAGCATTCTACACCTTTATATTTATAGTAGAGCACCCTTCTTTACATCCTGGCTTCATTTCTCACGCTCCTCTGGCATTTTAGATAGCAGCAAAGCAGTAAACCTCCATCCGTATTTGACTGCTGACGCGAGTAAAACATTTTCCGCGATTTTTTAAATTAGTGGGGATTTCACGACGAATCTTGGATCGCAAATCATTATGGGTTTTTTTTTTAAAGTTATGTATGGATCCATGGATCCTATGATTCAGCCAGATTTTTAATAGCTTTTTGGAGTAAGAATCTCTTCCATAAGGTTTGCATGAAAAATTGAGATTTGGAATGTTGGTTTGTATTTCAAAGTTTGGGATTGTTCCATATCGACTTCAACAAAGGAGGGGACGTAAATGGACGGTAGAAAGCAATCTAGAAGTAAGTGTAGAAAACGAATCCCTACACTGAAAATAAGTCAGGCTTGGCCGAGTCTTAGGCCCATGCCCTCACGATACACGTACCGCCCCGCCGAAATGCAACACATCTACGCCAAACTCCTAAAAGCAGAAAAACGAAAAAGACTGTACTAACTAAACGGACATTTAGGACGTATTTCCCTTAGGTATAAGCACAATTTATTAATTTATTTATAATGAATAGTTGCATCGTGAAAAAGGACACAAAAATATTCACAATCGAGCGGCCAACGCAGGCATTCATCTTCATGACTCTGTAAATTTCAGGAGAAATAAAACTTCAATGCCATGCAGATGAATATTATCAAAAGGCATTTCTCTTTGGAATAATTTCCATTAAATTCTACTTTCATGCAAATGATCGTTAACCTGCAACCACACGTGAAAATACGACATAGAAAAAAAAAATATGGTGAGTAATACTTGGAAAATTTTTGTCCCCAGCTTTAGGAACCTTTAGCCCCTAGCATCTCCTCATTCTCCTTTCAGTTGAAAGACTTTCATGAAACCAGGTTCGAAAAGGAAAATTGGCCATTCAAAAATTATGATTGTGACAGAAAAAGGAAGCTGAATATTCCTCGAAATATTTGATATGACATTGTCTTTATTTCGATCTAGTACAGTACGGAATTCGAAACTTAGAAAGAAGCCTTAACTGTGCTCTGTTATGTTGCAAAGCAAGCAGTGTTAGCTGTGTTTAATTTTTAATAATAATTTGAGCAGAGGTGGGAAAATCCAGATTGCACTAAGAACCAGTCAGATTGCAGGATACGTTACCGTACCCTCTGAGAAAAAGTGAGGTACAATTTTGCAGATGGCGTTAGAGTTTTAGCTCAGTTCTATGTTTTGTACTGTTATAGAGCATGCTCTTTCAACCAATGACAGCGCGCGTTATATCCGAACTTTATTATAAAAAGCTATCCATTTGTCATTAACCAATCAGGAACACGATAGGTCACAGGTATAAAAATTCTGTTAAATCTCTTAGGTTTGTTAAAAAGTTAATTCCACAGACAGTACAGCCTCACCTCTGTAAGCCTGAAGGCAAACTCTACTGCGCAGTGTTCACATTGCACAATCCTGTTGTGACATTCTGTAGTTTGGTGCTTGTTTAGGGACCTTCTTTGCAACTCTTCGTTACAATCATCACAAAAAACATCTTCATATTCACACAACTGAACGTGATCCTGTAGGTGAGTGTAAGAAACAGCATTTACTTTTCTCTCTACCTTAAAAGATTTATTTTATGTTCTAGCATCTTATCAGAAACGTCAATCAGAAATACCCCTCAATTGAACTCTGTGACATACTGAGGTGAGAGAACCCTTTTTGCGTTTCTTCGTCACATTAAAAATATAACTCAATATCTGCCATTCTTGATTCGGGGTGTGAAGTGTCTTTTTTATTCTTTACATTTTTGGTTTTGAATAAATCTTTGACTAAAGGAAGTAAAAGTCTAGGTTTATAATGTGGATCGAGTTGTCTTAAGATCGAGTGTCTTATTTCGTGCCATTAAACAGTGCTTCTTGCTACGACGAGACGAGATCTGAGATAGGACAAAAGAAGTTAACAGATGTTTCGTATGGTATAAAACTTCCCTTGATCAAACAGTGAATCACCTCATAGTAACGGAGCATTCCGGTCCAATCACATCCTCTCGCACTCTTCTTGCATTTGACTCGTAGAGAAAGTATATCCCTCTCCCACGCCACGTCACGAAAATACTGTGGAACATGCAGGATAAACGATGGCGTTATTAAGTAGTCTTAAAAACATGAAAGACACAGCCCTTTGGAATTTTTTATCATGCTGGGTCGATTAAATCCTTGAAGTGTCAATCACTTGAATGCTGCAAGTCAAGCATGTTAATTTCGGCGACAGAAAAGGGGGCCTTGAATAAACATGACGTACGACGTCGTCTCCGCAACTTGCATTTAACTTTGTTACTATTTTACTCCTGCCAATATTCTCCAGTTCTCCGTAGCCTCTTCTCTAGAGCTTACTGTCTTACCTTGTCTCCTCTAGTGTTCCTCGATCGTAAGGAGAAGGTAGAACTGACTAATTTACTGAATACTGTGACTCAAACTTTCCATTAGCTCGAAGTTAAGGAGTTTTCACGTTACGCTGGGTCAATAATGCTGCAAAATGAAATCTGAATTGTTCAGATTTTTCATTTGAACAACGTGGTAATCTTTCCTACTTCCGGCATGGTTTATTAAAAACTATTTGATAGATTAACAATTGGCTTCGAAGGCCTTTATAAAGAACTTGAGATATCGGGATGGTAGTTGTTCTAAGAATTCACGACTAAGGTCGTCATTTATGACGAAACAAGACGGCCAATATATATGTGCTACGAAAGTACTCAAGGCTACGTTTCCAACATCGATTTACTCACCCCCCCATCTTCAGGAATAGAAGTCCTATCTTGAGGACAAACCCGGCCAACTCCTTCCCTGAAATGCAAAAATACAAAGCGTGAGTTATTTGTGCATAAATAGTTGCATATCTTTGACGGAAATATTCAGCCTCCGAGTATTCTTGGTCCCTCGTTTATGTCAGCGGTGTATAAACACACTAGCGTTCGACAAATAGGCTTCAAATTAAACTGAAGCTAGCTATTTACAAAGATGTAATACACGGAAGTACCTAAATGTCCCCAATAGACAGCTTTCGCAAAAGCGATGGCCACAAACCGTCTGTACGGGATTGCACATTGCCACAAGACAAATTGGGCAAATTTGGCCGAGAGACAACTCATCTACAAACACAAAATCGTGGCCACCCAATTCGGGTTCTTCTGCGGAGAAAAATTCCTCCTCCATCGTTAAATGGAAGCGTAACTGTAAAGTGAAAGTGCTTTCACAGCACACAGACCAGTAGGGGGCGTACCTCCATTCCATCACTATGATTGGTTTTTATTGATTGTCACTCAAGTTGAAGGCGGAAATGAAAAGTGGTCTTGCACTTAAATGATTTTCACGTACTCTTCTGTTTGCGGATGGAACCTCGTGGTTTCGATATCAGTCTTTCTGATCATGGTTTTACACAAAATGGAGCCTGAGATGGTTCACCCGATAATATTTTTATAATAAACTTGAGTGAAGATAAGGAAAAAACACAAGACAGTTGTGCCATTACAGATGACAATCAAAGCGACGATGAAGAAATCAAACCCTATCTTGGTGGCTATGAATACGAATTTGTGGACGAAATATTACGCAATCAGAAGTGTCAGTACGGAGTTGAGAGCGTGGCCATTGATTTTGAAGGGGAATGTCAACAGAGGATTCTAATAGAAACTCTCGAAACACTTCATTTTTTGAAGCCTGAGCGATTGAAATAAAAAGTCGGACCCTTGTACTTAGGTCAGTACAAACCTGTATTTCTGAAAAAAAAAATGCTTATTTTTTGCATGAGTGTAAGCTACCATCATCATAACCTGTCTGAAATTCTGAGAGGTGAAAAACTTCTCCACGACAACCACCCGATGGTAGTCGCGAACAATAACGCCTGTGAAGTCAACTGAACTGTGCGACGTAGTTCTCCAAGATTGCAGCTCTTCAGTTTATTTAAAACCAATTATCTTATGCGACGTTTAATTGATTTTTTGAGCCTGCGAGTGGATTGATCAGTTACCTCACGTGGAGGAACAAGTGACTATAGTACATCACAAAGGTATAACTGATATGTGGACGTGAAACATGCAAACGTTTTCAAACATCTTTTCGTACAAGTTTAACTATATTTCCATAGCTTACGCAAAAATAGATAAATAAACAAATGTATTGATAGTTAAACAGAAAAGAATAAAATACGCTGTCAATTTTATGGAAATACGATTGTTAGGTAACATTCATCATCGACAGGATTCTGAACGCCTACACATTTATGGAATTCCATTTGCTCTGACAAAGGGCTAACGCTCTTAATGTTAGCTTTTTAACTCTCAACGGTGGCCAATTCACGTTATAAACTCAGTTGATAAAACCTGATTTTTATTCAGTTAGCCCTGTTTAACTAAACATGTTTAGCTGGTGTGAATGGGGTAACAGTGTGTTGACTGCCAGGACTAGTTCTTTTTCATCGAAAATCAGGCAGTCATACACATCATTGTGTTATAAAAATAGTTGCTTGTCGAAAATATTGAGCTCCATCTTGAGTTTCATTGATTCAGTCTATCAATGTCTTAAAGTCATGTAGCACTGAAACGAGTTTTAGGAACAAACTTCGACAAACTGCTAAGATCACACGTATAGAATCAGAAAAGGGTTAGCAATGGTAATAGATGAACTCTTTCTTTCCTCAGGAACAAAATAAGTCTTTTCCTCTTGTAATGGAATAAATTTCATGTTATCTGTGGATGAAAATCATGCAAAGAGATGATCTTCGAAAGTGCACTGCGTTCTGTGACTCAGGGCCTAGTGGGACTGACGTCATTATGGGATGAGGACATGACAGTTCTGCTTACACTAAATACTTACCTCTAAATACGCAGAATTTCGTGATCGTTTACTTTAGTTTACAGATGGAGGATGATTAGCCAAGGTTTTAACTTAGCCATGTGCGAGAATGATGTTTGACGAAACTCAGGTGTTCGAAGGATTGACTGCTTGGTTTTCTACGAGTGTACCTGCAAGTTTGAAGTCTCGATGGGGTACGTCGCGCTATGTATGTTTATTTATGGTGATGCACGTCAACTTGGCGGTTTTTTTATTCTATGTTTATGTTTACTTGATTTCCAGTGAAAAGTGGGGGACTTGTCGGGAAAGAGTTCAGTGATGTAGACTACATTTTCAGCAGCAATGCCTCTGCAAAAGATACGTTAAGGTGCGTTTAAAAACAGTTTCTTTACTTACTTAATTACTCACCGTTGCCCATGGCCCCTCTTGGCGCCTAGTGCAGCGACGAATTCTCTCTATTTTTCTCCATCTTCTTCTCCTCCTCAAGTGTCCGCCGTCTTTTAGGAATACTGAAATTTGACTTGCTTTAATTCAAGTCGATAAGAACCTTTGGTGCTGAGTCTTTTCCTTAGCTTGTTTTGGTGCTATTTGTTTGAGGTTTATAGATTAATCACCTGAAAAGCTTTCTTCATTTTGCAGGATTTTCGATTCACACAATGAAGAGCTAACCATTTTTAATTCTTCATTAATTGAGGATGCTGTTAAAAATGGCAAAATCGTTTTAAGTGGAAAATACTCTGGGGATTATATTCTCATTCATCCTGCATATCAGAAAGGTAATCATTTTCAGCTCTTTCTATTAAATTAAATAAATATCCTACGTACATTAAACACTAGACTATTACAACAAAAGTATTCAACAGATACACCAAACAATGCTTCATTAATAAATTACAAACACTTATGAAATACAGAGACAATAAATTATCAATCAGGAATAAATTACAAACATAGATTCATATTAGTAGAGGTGTTATTCACATAAAAAACAGAATCTAGGCAAAAATTATTTAATGCAGTTTATATTGCAAATAAAAATATTCTAATTTTTATACATAGATAGTTTCAAATTTTGATTGAACAAAACATAAAAGAAGCACTGAGTGCCAGTAGTTCAACAGAAAGGAGGTTGTAACTAATCTTTTTGCTTTCTGCAAATTAGCTATTTGCTTTCATCCTTTTACTGATCTTACTTGCAAGCCATATGTGTAGGCTGTTACCATGCAAGTCCAAGGCCATTTATAATATTATACAGAAATGTGATGTCATGTACTTACAGCTGACTCTGGATTTATTACCCCAGGTGCTAAATAAGTTTTGAATTTTAAGCCTTTTTCTCTCATGATTGCACAAGATGGAATTTTTTCCTGAAGTATTAATAGAATGTCAAGCAAACTAGCGATAGGAATAAAGAAAAATATCAATTAGGAGATTATTTGTTGATCAAATACCAAATTCTAAGAACTAACATCATAAGAATTGTTTGGCAGACAGTAAGGAGAGTCACCAATGAGATCTGGGATTGAAAGGGTTATTTGCAAGGACTATTTAATGAGGGAAAGGCATTCATTCATTTAGAGGATCTCAGTACAAAATCACTGTTTTTTGTTTGTTTGTGATGATTTTTTCTCACATTTACTAGAGATAATAAATTTCAGGAAGAGAAAGTGATAAATTTTCCCTTCTAATCCTTTATAACAAAATTACCTTAACAGTAATTCAGGAGTTAGCTAGCAACACTTTAAAATGTTATGAAACCTCTGAATAAAACCCTTATCTATAACAAATCTAAGTGTGAGAATGAACTGCTCTGTGCTCCAGAGACCTGTAGTCCAGTTAAACAGTGTGCTACATATTCATGGAATTGAAGTCCTATTGCAAACACTCAGGGAAAGCTTATCAGCTGGTTATCAGCATCTATGATTTTTAGATAACTTTTACCAACAAGTTATTTCTATTTTAATTTAGTCTCCCACAAGTTTTGTTGTCTTTATTACACAGAAGTTAGATTTTATAATTATGTGATGATTTGTTTCTTTTTTTTATGTAATAATTTGCTCACTTGACACAGTGAAAAAAAAATCTCTTGCAATTAATTTTATTATTACAGAAATTGACAATTTTTATAAAAATAAGTGTCCAAGACTGTACAGAAGTGATGTGAGACTCACAGGAATGAAAGATGGCAAGAGAAGTGGTTTTCATGAAAGTAAGGTAATACACAAAGTTTGTAGCAGACAAATGGAAGCAACAACTTTTTTAGGCCTTTCATTCCCAAGATCTCATTGCTAATTCACCTTACTGTCTGATATACAATCCTAATGATGTTAGTTTGGAAAATTTGGTATTGGATCACCTAATACTCCCTTAATTGATATTTTTCTTTATTCTCATTACTTGTCTGCTTGATATTGTACTGTCTTGATCATCTTGATCACTCATGGGAGTTAGTTTTTGCCATTATTTGTAGATCAAGAACAGTATGAAGAAAGCTAAGAAAACTAATGATGATGAAGATTCAGATGAATGGGAATTTGAAGACAGTTCTTTGCCTAAAGTTCTTGATAAAGTGGTGAGCATGTCTGCATGGTTTGCCTTGAAACAGAATAAAGTATATCTAGGACTAGATATTTTCTGAACTACAGATTCTACTACTGTAATAGTAATTTTTTTATTTTGGCACATTTTACCAATCGAAATAAACTGGCTTTGTTCACAGTCAAGTTATTGAGGAAAGGATCTTGCAAATCACACCCAGACCATGTCAGATTAGCTGATTTAACTTTACTTTGAGTAGATAGAGGGGGTAAGGTCTTACAATCTTGATCTCACTTTTCATTGACAACCAGCTATCACTCAAATTTGTTTAGTATGGGAAAAAATCAGAGATAAATGTGAACAAACAGAGGACTGGAAACAGTCCATCCCAAGCCACACTCTTACTAACTCTTTAAACATCAGTTACTAGGGTAAGTAAAACCATTAGCCAATTTTTCTTTTTAAAGGAGCAAATTCCAGTTAGTGATAACCTGGTGTAATAAATGTAAAAATCACTCCTCCATCATCTCCTCTCACCACTTATACAAACCTTTCCTTACAGGCCCTTGCAGTCACTAACCTCTAATTTAAACACTGTAGAGACAACTGATTTGAAAATCCTTTGGGAAAATCGGCTTTAGAGAGACATTGTCAGTTTTGTTGTCTTTTAGAAGAAGAAAATAGCAGAACGGATTGGTGATGATGACTCAGACATGTGGGACTTAACAGATGACTCAGAGATCTCCTTAACTAGTATGAATGCAAGGACACAGCCTAAGGATGTAAGGAAATGTATTATGTCACTTTGTGGTGTCACCATTTTCATTAAATTTACAGTTCACTTTACTATAATCTATATCATCATGCCCTTTATTATGCCTTTATATGGGTAAATCTGATGATCAGGATCATTGCTATGGTAAAACTCTTATAAACTATAAAGGGGGTAAGTTTCTAAAGAAGCTGTGGTGCTACATCAGTGGGAGAGTATAACAGGGTAATTAAGTATTATCAACCATAAAGAGTTAAAAAGCTAACATTTCAAGTGTTAGCCCTTTGTTAGAGTGAAGGGCTGATGAAGGGCTAACACTTGAAACATCAGCTTTTTATTGCTTTATGGTGGTCAATTTACACTATCAACTCAGTCAATAATACTGACTTACCCTCTTTCAAACTATGTTGAGTCTATGACACCATTCAACAATAGCCTTGATTATGATGGTTGATTTCTTCAGAGAAAATTGGAAACTCACATGCTGGGGCCAGAACTTTTCATTTGAGGGAAAACCATCATGACAATAAGATTATCTATGGACATTTTTAAGGCATAAAGAAATTGAAACCAGTGTGTAGGTGCTTAAAATGCTTTTGGAGACAATCAGGCTAACTTGTCAATAATTTGATAGTCAAGAGTAAAGTTGACCTGTTGTGTGAAAAGATGTTATTTGAACTAATCTTAATATCTGTCATTGTATTTATGAAACATTGCCTGATTTGATTCATACCTTGCAGATTGAAAGTCTTCCAAGGGAGATTAAGAATACAGAGCAAGAAATGTCTGATGAATGGGATTTCAAAGATGATCCTGACCTTCACACTAAAAACTTAAAAGATGCCAAGAACAAGAATGTACAGAGGGACAGAAGACACTCGAAACTGTGTAGATCATCCCATTTAAATCTTGTTGCAGCTCCTCAGAAACAGCCATGGATCACTGTACAACCAAACAAAACAAGTGAAGATGTTAGGAATTTGTCTAACAATCCCAGCGCAACATTTTCAATAAGTGACACATCTCATGATAATTATAGTCAAGCTGACGAGAAGCAACAAGACCAGGGTGGGTACCACTCACAGAAACCAGTAGAGCAAGATAGAGAGCAGCAAATGCACTGTGGTGACTGTCAGGAAATGCATACATCACATTCACAGCATACTGAGCAAGGGGGAAGCTATCTAGATGATACTAAGTCGAGAAATAAAGTTTCACCTGATAAAGGCATTAGACCCCACTTTCTCAGCAGTATGGATGATGGTGAGTTTGACTATTGCAGTCTGACCTTTGCTTTGTTGAGGTTTATTAAGAAGGGGTCTGTAGAAGAGGATCAAATTTCTTATTGAAATTGGTTTTTATTCTGTAGATTTTGTTACTTTGTGTAAAACCATACATGGCTGTGAATAAAGCTATTTTACTACAATGATACCTTGAAAAAGATCAAAGGAGACCACTACTGATGAATGAGCATTAATTTAAGCATTTTTATTCTGTAGATTTTGTTACTTTGTGTAAAACCATACATAGCTGTGAATAAAGCTATTTTGCTACAATGATACCTTGAAAAAGATCAAAGGAGACCACTACTGATGAATGAGCATTTAAGCATTTTTCTTATTTAGAGTTAAATTCTGTGCCTTGACAAAAGAAGAAGTCTAAACATTTCAATCAGTATTGATCAATAATTTACCTACCAGAAACAGGGAGTAGCTAAATTTGTAACCCCATGTGGCCATCAGAAGTGGTGGTAACCAAAAGGTGATCATATTATTGTTGGCTAAAATTCAGTGCTTCTATGGACTAATACTATTACAGGAACCACATTCATAAAAGAAGCAGGTTAGAGTCTCCATCTTTCCCACTTTGTAAAATCATGACTTCAGTTGAGGAAGAACCGTATTACTTCTAATTTAGTTTTTCTGAGTATTTTTTTCTTTTACTTTCAGGCTTCGTTCATATTGATGACATCACACTGCCAGATACACCTATATGTGACTTCATTCCAAATCACGCTGGCTGCAGAGTGGATGCCAAATAGACAATGCCAAAACACTCTCTTAAAGATTTTGACTTATGTTATAAATTATTGCTTTCAGTTTTAGTTGCTTTTTATTGGAAAGAAGTTTATCATGTTCATAAAAAGTTTAGAGTGTACCGGAACCTCCATTTAACCAGATTTTGAAGGGTTTTTTTTATATTCATGATGGTGCTTAAGATGTACATTTTTTACTTCATTGTAATAAAATCATTTTTCCATTTTGAAATTTCTATCCTTCATATTATTCCTTGGAACAACAATGCTATTTTTGGCTGGCATCAATTTGTTCTGATGAGGATGTTTTAAATGTTACTTGACAAGCCATGTTACTTGAGTTGATTTGCACTTGTTCACATTGAAATGGTTGCCACAGGTCTGGAAGTATTTAGGGGAAAAATTCTTCATTCCAAGGGAAAGTCAGTGAAATTACAACATCTCAATTCAAACTTCTCTCCAGTTCCATGTTTTTTTTGTGTATGTGGCTGCAACAGGTTGTCCCTATCATCAAATAACAGGCTCCATTTGCACAGATACACATAGAAATGAGGCAGCCTAGAAAAAGCCATCCGGTTTTGTGCGCTCTTTTGTATCTTCTGAGAATGTGAATTGAAATTGTGGATGTCAACTTAAAATAAAACAATTGAAAAAAGGAGTCACTTCTTGGTGAATTACAAGTTTTTTGTCTTGACTTGAATTAAAAGCAGGAGAATTTCTACCTTCTATTAATTGGCCAGTGTGTGCCCTTCTTTTGTATGCAAGTACTTCCTATTTTGGTTGTAAAAAAGTTTTAACACTTAGTGGTCAAGTGATACAATGCTTTTTGCCTTTAGTGTGGTTTCAACAAAATGCAAACTCTGAGGTTCAGGATAAAATTTGTGCTTCATGTTATACTTGTGTTAAGTATTAAGGAAATGGAAAGTTAGCAAAAGAAGAAAATGAAGTCTACTGAAATTGTCTGGTACAACTGAGGAGTTACATGTACATGTCAGAAAACCAATGAATAACTGATGAGGAAAAAGTCAGGGAATTTAAGTATGGGTTGGGGCAAATTTGCATTTTTGAAAGAAGTCAGGGAAAAGTGAAATCTCAAGTTGATGTGAACTCATGTCTTAGCCCTCTTCATACTTACAGTTTCTGTGAAATCAATGTTTCTCATATACAACTTGTTTAGTAGTTCCTAGCTTGCCTGAAAAGCATGTTACTTCCCCTTGTAATGCAAGTTCAGGTTGGTTTGTGAATGAGACTGTACACTTACTTTTTCTCCTTTTTCATTGTTTGTGTGGTACTTTCTATGGATGTAAGACATGTAGGATTGGTAGGATATTTTTTAAGAAATCGAGTGACAAGCTGATGTTGTGTTTCCAAGAACAAGAATCCTTTTTCCATGTTATGTTGAGGAACTATCAATTCATGTACACTGCATTTAACTGGTTAATAGGATGAATGAATGGGTGGAGGGGATGGCTGCGATTTGTGGTTGGACATAATTAACAGGAATTTGACATTTGTCGGGGAAAAGTTGGGAGAATTTCTAGCTTGCAGAACAGGCAGAAATTTTTGTGTTTTTCAGGTGAACCATGGTATCATGAGGCAAGCCCAAAGTGAGTGAGGTGCTCCTCCACTGGCACTGGCCTCTGTTTGCATGAAAAATGCAAACAGATCATGCCTACTCTGCATGCAAGGGAATCTCAAACGCCTCGGCTATAGCGACCATGAATAATGTACATCTTTCCATAAGTGGTAAACTACATAACTGACTGCAGTTATGTAAACTACACTGCATGTTACTGCAAAGCACAGACAACTCCTTTGTCTAAAAACAGATAAAATACCCTTTAAACTAAATTGCACTTCTTAAAATTATCTTTACCACAAATGAGATTGCTAGAAATAGCAGGGTAAACCTAGGACCAGCTAGCCTACTTCAGGGACTCAGTTACTAAAATGGGGAGAAATACTAAACAGCAGTATATTAGTGGCAGAGTAAAACAACAAGGGAAGTTTGGGTCTTGTCACAAGCTCATAATCCACCCTGACCCAAACCTCTCTGGTTTTCTCACTCTCCTACTACCATCTTGCAGTTTATTATAGTACTTTGTTCTACAAACAGAATGCCTGGAAAAGGCTTAGGACCAGCCAGGATAGAAAAATAGAGGTTTCTACTTAAGAAGACATCAGTCTACTTTTTTATTTGGTTTAAGTTTTTTTTCTTTGCAAATGGAAAAATATATGTCATTCAATAAGATAGACAAACAAGTTGCTCAATGTGTTCAGGCCATTCAGAGAGATCATTTGAAAAACTCTAAATTGTCACATTGCCTCTAAAAAGCTTGTTCAGTCATGTCTTTCACACTGTCCAGGGAAAACTATATTATTAATTTTTGGCACCTTTGTTTCCCATAAACCTTGTTCTCTTCTATTAAGAACACATCACATTGATGCTGAAGACATAATTCACACATTCTATGACTGTAATGTGCATACAGCTGTTCCTTAGCAAGTTTTCAGTTGAGCTGCTGCTTCACAAAGCAGTTTACTTTGGTGGTGGATCCCTCTTTAAATGCTCATATTCAACTAAGGCCTCATATAACTGCCTTCGTAATGTGGACACCTTTTCTTCTTGTTTCTTGACATCTGCCTCTGTGATAGTAAAGGGAGTACACAGAGGTTGCTCAGCATTTAGCCAGACCTCTGGGTGCTTTTCCAGAGCTATAGCAGATCTGTCTTGCCCTTTTACACTTGCTTTGTTATGCAAATTTGTCACTAAAGAATGAATTAAGTTCTTTTGGCTTATTCCAGGGCCTACACTCTTTATTTGATCTGGCAAGCGAAAACACTTGAGCACATCCTGTTCCAATGAAGTAACTGAAATCCCTTGTAGACGTTTTTCCCAAAACAGCTGCTTTGGTTTATCTTTGTCAGTTCTTGCATTTAATGCCTCGTGTTTACGTTTCTTCTCTTTTGGAGGAGCCACTGCCATAGAAGGGTAATATGTAACATGTTCCCCTGAAAATGATTTGGCATATTGACGCACAGGAGCAGGAATTATCCCTCGATTCAAATCTCTGCCAAAGCTTTGATCTCTTTCTCCTTGTCTCCTCTTACTTCGCCTATTGAAAGTACCACTTCTAAAGTCAAAATTTCCAAGGTCCAATTCTGGAAGGTGTTGTTCTAGCTGAGGCTTGGAACGGATTTTCTTACCATCTGGACTGCTCAAAGAAAAGTAGAAAAATGTTACACATTTATGTCTTTGTAATATTATCACATCTTCTAGACCAAAAGATTCCATATTGTTGTGCATCTGTTCTGTAATAGATCACATATGACAACAAAATGTGGTGAGAACAAAAAAAGGGGAGCATATGAGGCACAGCTGAGAAATTTTCAAGACTCCAACAGGAACTTGTCCGATTATCAAAGTGATCTTCATGGTAATGAACACTACTTAAACAGCATGACCTCTGCAAAGTGAAGTGGAAATATTCCATTCATGTTAAAGCTTTGTGGTCAGTCTCTACGTTCAACAATTATTTTATCCCATTATTAGATCATAAACAAAAAATGTTTCCTTCTGCTGGTAGGAATTCTATATTTTGAGGTCTTCTCTTCTTTAAGTCCATTCAAAGAAGAAAGAAAGAGGAGACGCTCTCAATTAAGCCCATATTATGCATGTACTCATGGGGGCATTCAACAACTTCTTCCATGGTCTGAGATTATTGTAGGTAGGGTAAACTCTGTACTAAAGTCAAGTGGCCCAAAAAGCCAGAGCTTATCCTGGTATAGTTCACATTAATACTACTCTTCTCTAGTTGGGATGCCAGTCCATTGCAAAGTTATCCCCTAGCATCTGCTTAGGCTTCCCTGAAAATTTGCAGGTACCCATTTATACTCCTGGGTGGAGAGAGGTACTGTGAGAGGAAAGTGTTTTGCCACACTATGGCATGACCAGGTCTCAAACAAGGGTCTCTTACCCTAGACCCAGACTTCAGCACAATAGCCATCAGGCCCTCATGCCACCCCCCCATGATCAATGTATTGTGGCCTAAACTTCAATGTAATTTCAAAATGTATCCTGCATAGCAAGGATTTGGCCTGAGACTTGATAGTTCATATTTATCCAAATGTGAATGACACATCTATTAAAATTTCAGTAAATGATCATATTTGTGTATCTCTCTAAATTAACAATTACGTGCTGTTTTTTTTCTTAAATATGTTTGCCAGCTGAAAACTTTATCCACTTATTGTTTGTTTGCTATTATTACATAAGTTATAATACTGCATGACATCACTGACTCTCCGTTTCTCTCATACAGCAAGTCCCACAGTTTGTATTTTTCTTTAAAACTAAACACTCGGGTGAAGGATCACCAGAATTGTGTGGATTGAAAAACTGTGCACATGTTTACCAACTAAAACGGATAATTCGTTTCGTCGACACATGTGAAGGTCTCCACGTCTTTTGTCACCGGTGCACAGAATTTTTAAGTGTATGTTACAGTTAAAATCTTAGGATCGCTTAGATCGCGTCTTGCCTTCCCGGAAAATGGTAAAAAACCCTTTAAATAAGGACTTCAAGTCATTATATGGCACTTTCCAGTTGAAGAAGAGTGATACAAGAAATCAAAACGTGAAGGACTTCTTCTCAAACAAATTAACACGTTCCCACGTACATGTACCTGTAATAATAAACGTCGCTTCTCCCGGCTGACAAACCTGACTTCCTCATCACAATTTCGCGCTGCCAGCCGTTAGGAAGACTGGGGCACTCCATTCTCGATTTCTCATCCATATCTAACGGAACAAAAACCAAAACAGTAAGAAAAGCGGAAACTCAAACGAAATGGTGGATTTTCGATCCACCTTCGCCCCCAGGTTTCCTTGTTTCCTAATTCTGAGGACGAGCCTCCCTGGGAACGACGTTGCTTGGTTCCTGGATTCCAATACAGGCTATGGCATGATGCGTAAAAAGAGCGTAAGGAACAAGCAATCTCGTGCCGCATCTTATGAAAGGATGGTCTAGAAAAGCATTTTGAGTGGTTTATTTCTCCTAACTGAGCCTTTCTGATGTGAAGGAAATTATTTTTAGAGATCAAAATATTGAACATATGCAAACAAAACTATCAAATATATTGGAAGCCTCACGGATGATCGCATCAAGGCGACCTCCCAGCTGGAAAGATGGATTAGAAGTCAAGCTACTGCCGCCGTTATAGGGAAAAAGATCTAGTTTGGAATGAAGAAGATTAAGGGGAAGCTGGTGAAGCGCACCTCACAGGTGGGTGTGATTTGCACAATCATACCTTAGTAGGAAAATCAACTCGAAAGCGGCCTTATAGTAGGTATCAAGTGTATCTTCAGGCCGGTGATTGTTTCAAGACAAAAGTTTGTAAACAACACGAGCTCAGTTTATTTACCACAGTTTGACTCTAATTTGAGATTAAGGCATTATATTGTACATGTGTGTGTGCACAGAAGTAGAAGGTGCTGTAGTGATTGTCTCAGATTGTTTTGGAAAGTTTGACAGTCTACAGTTTACGTACAATATCTATTTCCGCCAAAAAAAACGTAAGTGGTACATGTCAACTCAAAATTTGTCGAAGGCTATAAAACTATCCTACATTTAGTATACAGCAATATCGCTATTATTCTAGATGTTGGTTGCTCCACTTTTGTAGGTTATTGCCTTGAATGAGCAATTACAACCGATATTTCTTTAGAAAACGTCCAGTTCTTGGCATTATCCACTTGAGCTTACTCAAAAGTGACTGGTCAACAATTATTCACCGGTATAGAGGTGAATAATCGTCGTAGTATGTACCACACAGAAACCATGAAATTAGTTTATTTCTGTCAATACACTGAAAACTTGTCTCCTCCATTGTGTGGATGTGACAAGTTCTAATTGCTCATCACTTCCAAACTAGCCCATCAGTGCATGAGGAAAGCACCATCCACTTGTGTGGTGTATAACAATTATTTGCTGAGGTGGAGGTGGATTTTATAGAGTTAAGTGGATTTTATAGAGCCACAAAGCAGCAAAGTAAATATCCACTGCTTTTCACAGACATTAAAGTGAATAATTGTTTTAGGATAAGTATTACAAGACCATACAAGAACCAAAACATAGGTTTATTTCTGTCAATGTACTGAAAAATTTGTGGAAAGTAAGCTCTTGACAAACAATTTATCTCCTTGCTTCTCTGAGGTGAACAGTACTTGCTAATCACTTCCTAATCAGCCAGTCAGTGTGTGTGGAGAGCACTCTTCACCTGTTTGGTAAATACTTAAAGTATTAATTTTTAATTAGTAAATGAAGTAGGATATTAATTTACTGATGTGTTAATTTATTTATGAACCTGGTCCTCATAATTTCTTTTTAAACATTTAGAAAACATGTTTTATTGAGGACATGAACATTGACATCCATTTATTCTCTGACTAGTTTTTTGTTAATCCAAAATAAGTATTTTGTTAATTTAGAAAACATGTTTTATTGAGGACATGAACATTGACATCCATTTATTCTCTGACTAGTTTTTTGTTAATCCAAAATAAGTATTTTGTTAATTATGCAGACTCAACTTCAAGTAAATCCACCTAGTGAAGATGATGCTTGGACTAAATATGATGAACGGCTCATTGAATGTGTGGTGAATGGAGATGTAGAAAAACTCAAGTAGGTTCAATTAAAAAAATATACGATTTGTATTCATAAATGTATATGTCACCTGTGATTAGGGTAGTGTGAAGGTCAATTAGAAAAGACACAGAACACTGGGTAATTCAGCAACAAAAGTAATTAACTGTTCTAACAACAGTTAATTATGTTCCCAAGACAGAAAGGTCAATCTTGTTGATGGTGAACCCCATCACACAAAACTATAATGTAGACATTAAAATTTGAAGTGAAGTATGAAATGAAAAAAACATATAAAATGAAAAAAACATATAAGTATATACCTCTGAGATTCAGGGAACTCATTAAGTTTTATATTGGGTTCATAAGTGACAAGTGTCCTGAAAACTGTGAGGATCAGCGATATTGAAGTGATGAGTGTATATTAAATAGATAAAGAAAATGTTCCTTGTTCCTCACAGGCACAAGGAAAAAATGACAAATCTGAGTCCTTTGGACTCAAATGTTATCTCCTTTGTTTCACTCTTGTGATGAATAATCAATGAGCAAGTTTAAAATTTTATCAAGTTTTTTTACTTCAAATTATCAGTCTGGGAATGATTAAATATTCTGATGCATAAGGCTACTCTTTTGAGAAACACATTCTACTCTCAGTCTTTGTATCGATTCTCGTTAAAAAAAAAAATGATACAGTAAATAACTACTCCTATACAAACAGGAGGGCAGTGAAAATATCACCCTTAAAGGGCTTCAATCCTATGGAAGGCCATAAAATTTTTTAGGCCACCTTTGTGGCTGTCATTGTTCTTAGAAAAGGTGCCTTTGTTAGATTTCATCATGATAATGATTTTCAATTTCTTTTAAAGAATATAATGGAACTCCAACTACCACTCCAACAAAAAATTATTTTATTAATGAGTATAGTATATTTCCTCTTTGTTAGGACTACTCTTGCAAAAAAGGGGACATCAGCGATAAAGTTGGGACCAAATGGGACAACAGCGTAAGGAAATCTCTTACCAACCTTTATATTAATTAGCTTGGGGTAATTGTTACATGTACATTAACTGGTTAAGATGAGGACTATTGGTTTACAAAGAATTTGTGCAGTGAGAAATCATAAAGAAACAAAACAAAATTATAGTAAACCACATATTAAGAGTAGTGAAGAGCATATGAAAAAGTAACAACAAAGTTATTTAAAGCAGTTTAGCAACAGGACATCCTTAGAGTAGTTCTCCATCAATTGATTCCTGGCTAAATGGAAAAGTAAAGTGTTGTAGGGAGGGAAATTGGAGAATGCACAAAAAATCCTTTTGGGTACCAATAAAAAACAAATACAAACTCAGTCACCTTGGCAAGTTCATGAATTGAACATGTGCCTCACAGAGCAAGGCAAATTTTTGTATCACCCCTCCATCCCTTGTAATCTCCCAAAGTATAAGCTCTCCTACCTTGACAACAGAGATCTCATGTTTGGAAAATGCTAAGTAACTATAGGAAATAATTGACTTCAAATTATAAGGTTCTTTATATTCATATCTTACATCTGTCAGTTAGTAGATGAGCTATATATGAAAGGCTAACTGGGCCTTATTTTGAGTGTGGGCTCTTCATACATCAAGAGCATGTCCTGATGAACAAAGTAATTTGTTTTTCACTTTTTCTTAGTCTTCACACAGCATGTGAGAAAGGAAATGTTGAGTGTTTGGAGGTGTTACTGGGAGAACAACCAGACCTATCATTTGTGAACAAAGCGGGTGAGTCCTTTATAAAGCTACTATTTATGTGTATCTGATAAAAATACCTTCGCAGTCACTGTGTTACATGTAATTCGTTGATTGATCCTTTTTTTAAATTTGGTATTGAATGCAAGGTATTAAGTGATTACAACAGCTTTGATAAAAGGAGGATAATCAAAGAGTGTTTGTGGTTTAAAAGCAAGTCTTTGAGTATATTAGGTGTTATCCACATCAGAAGTTTCTTAGCTTAATTGCAGTTCTAAAATGCAGTTAATGTACTTTGCATAGGAATTGATTTTGGAGTTGTGCTATTACATGAAAATACTGTAAAAGTGAAGTGATTCTCAACAACTAGTATGTAGCTGTAAAATTTATAGTCTCTTGAAGGTGATTAATTTTTGACCGTATGTTAAAAGTTGACACTCAGTTTTAAATAAGTATTATATTTTCAATTAAAATACTTCATGTAATATTAATCAATGAATGATGTTCAAGTTGGTAAAGCACTGACAGAGGTGTTCTTTAGGTACCACTGTATCTCCTTATTTCTTGAAATATTTTTCTTTCAGGCTGCAGTCCTCTCCATGTGGCTGCATATTCTGGGAACACAGAATGTGCAAAGAAAATCTTAGAACACAAGGTCCATGTTGGAACTCAGGATGGTAAAAAAATGACTGCACTTCACCATGCGGGCAAGTTGTAATGTTTATTCTTTTTATCAAAGCCAATCTGTTGCATGAGCAAAGCATCATCGATGTTGGATAACTTATTATTTTCTGGTGTTTTTGCGCCTAAGAATTTGTTTCAATTATTTTCTGTCACTGATGTTCATTTCATTTACAACGCTAAATACAGCTGCCAAAGGTCATAAAGAATGTGTTGAACTTCTTCTTAACAACAAAGCTTCTCTTAATGGCAAAGACAAGGTAACTTTTGTTCACGCAGTTAATTTATTAATAAGGACATCATGAATGGAATGCTGAATTACTTACTTACGTAAAATTGTAAACTATTTAGCTCAACTACCTTTTATAGTATTTAAAAGCATCTTACAAAAAGTCAGAGATGTGTTCTAGAGTACTTCTGCATGTAGTACCCTAACATATGGTTCCTTCAGTTAATTATGCAACACTTGTATAGAAAAGATGCTGTTTTTGAGTTATCCAATGTATGAGGGGTAATTTATATATTTTTTTTCAGGATGGAAGAACTCCTTTATTGATGGCTATACAAGGTGCACATGAAGATGTTGTCAAGTTATTACTTGACAGAGGAGCAAAGGTTAACATAGCAGACAATTCTAAAAAGTAAGTCAGAAAAAACCTTAAACTTGCTTTTGGTGCATGCTGGTTTGAAGAGTAGTTGTTAGGTTAATCCTCTTTGTGCCTCATGTACCTCTGTCATTGTAATTTATAGGACAGCACTTATGTATGCATCACTTCTGGGGCTTTCCATTACTGTAGAGATGTTACTAAAAAGGGGTGCTAATCCACAACTGACTGACAGTAATGGTCATACAGGTATGTTGGGCAAAAATTCATCATTTATATGTGAACAGCATTTAAATACCTCAATCTCTTTTAATAACCTTCCCCACCACCTTTGGATTTATTTTTTCCTGCTCTTTTTGAAGAGATGGGTAATAGGAAAGACATTTTCTGTAAAACTTGACAGAAGGAGACAGTTGTAAGATTTAAGGGCTGCCAATTACAAAATACAAACGTAGGGTTCACATTTACAAATATGCAGTGTGTCTAGCAAAAGAATATTCTGACTCTGTTTGTCAGAAAGATGAGGAATGCTATCCACTAGATGGATGTCTATCTTGTGGATAGCACAGTAATATTGTTTAGCTAAAACTTATCCACTGTTGAATAACTGGGTCAACAACTGGTGTGGAAGCACTGATAGTGGCACTAGAACCAAATTGAGGTGTTCATGTATACACTATCTTTTGTTTTCGTCAACAGCTGAGGAGTTTGCTCGCTTGTGTAATTACCAAGATATCATTGACCTTATGCACAGTGCTCCATCTGTTGCAATGTGGGATGCAGGTATTGTTATAATCTAGATCCTTTCTCAGCCAGAAATTGATTGCTAAAAGATGACATGTAGAAAATTAAAGTTTGGATTGAGAATTTGATAGAATTTATAAACATTCTGGTATAGCATTTTTTCGAGGCATTACACTAGATTAGATAATAATTGAGTTCATTCTCTTAGTTACACAATGTTGATAAAATCAGGAAAAATTAATTTTGCAAATTAAAGAAGCTAAAGTCCATGATCGGGGGTGTGAAGGACCCTATGTGTTAATGGTCCCAAACAAAATAGTCTATGTCTTATTATTGTAAAATAGAAAAGAGTGTGAAAATTGTCAAACCATCCTATGGTTATTTATATTAAATCTTAATGAAAAAAATTTTGTATACCAGGGGAAACCTCAGAGGATAATGAACCGGATGAAGAGGATTCAGTTGTTCCAAATGTAATTAATTTTATTAAAATAAATAATAGAAAATTGTGTAAATGCCATCAAATAAGGCATTCTTTTTACGTGAATTTATAAGTAGCTATTGTTTTCGTGGATTGATGAAAGATGACCTTCTTTAACTTAATAGCTCTTTGTACTTTGATTAAGTTTCATTACTGTAACAGCTTCAGACAATGTCAATGAAAGCATCTCAACAAGTTTGGGAAAAAGGGATATTTAGTTGGTTTGAACACTGTGAAAACAATTAGTGTTTTTTTTTTTTTTTTTAACTAATTCAATAGATACACTAGGAGGGGAATTTGGTGTACATGCTTACCTTGCAGAACTGAGCTGTTTACTGGCAGAGAAACAGTGATTACTGATGGACAAAGGCTCACTTTGTGTCAGGCTACCAAATTAAAATTGTCAACCTTTAACTTTTCTTGATTATAATGGATGCAATTGTTTAGCAAAATGCAGGTCATTTGCCATTACTGTAGGTAATTTTGTAAGTATAGAATGAAAATCATCCCAACTTACTAAAGAGTAAACTGTTTAACACTGTTTTTAACTATACATGGACATCAGTGTTTGAAGGCAGTTTACAACTTGGAAAACATGCCTTAACACTTTAACTCCCATGAGTGACCAAGACAGAATTCTCCTTACAATAACAATACAATATCAACCAGAAAAGTAATGTGAATAGAGAAAAATATCAATTTGGGGATAATTAGTTGATCCAATATTAAATTCTCTTAACTAACATTATAAGAATTGTATGGTTGACAGTTAGGAGAATTACAAATTTGATCTGGAAGTTAAATGGTGAACATGCATATGAATTTGATTCTTTGTCAGGGTGAGTTAATAACAGAGTTCAGCAGTTTGGAAGAATCAGAGACAGAGGTAACTGTTTCACTGCACCATGAAACAGTTTCAAGTACCACTGGGGTAAGTGTAAGTCTGATCTTGTTTTTTGTCAGGGTGGAATCAAAGATAAACTACCATTAGTATCTATTCTATACAACAAAAGTTTTCTTTATAATTATCACTTTGCCACTGAAAGTAAATCTCTAAGTTTGCACTCATCTCTGAGCAGCAAATTTAAATCATCTTGACTTCTTTTATAATGGTTTGTTAGTGTCTAATTTTACTGTAGCAGTGGTTTGAAGTTTTTGGCACACTTTCTTTTGGTGTGTTATTTTTTTCATGAACTTTGATATTATAAAAATTTTAGGGTGCTGTTATGGAAATGAAAAGCTGACTTTTTGTTAATTTTTAACTGGAGAAAGTTTTTATCAAAGGCAATTGAAAATGATTTTAATGTGATAAAGCTTACAGAAAAAAGTTCATCGTAATGTATGATGTTCATTATTTTAGGTTCCAAGCTCAGTCAACAGTGGTAGTATATCACAACAGGTAACTATATGTACATGTAGAAACACACTCAGATAATTTGGGGTTTTTACCGTTTTACAAATATTCAGTATGATGTGATATGATAGCATACACTTCAATTCTGTCTTTCCATAAATGATTGACTGTCATAGACAATTTACATTTATGAAATGTACTCATTTGAATCTGAGAATAATTCATATGATTGTGCATAACTATATGTACATTGGCCATTTATGTGCATAATTAGATGTACATGCACAGGCCATTTTTCTGCTATCACTCAAAAAAAGATTCGCCATCTTATTAAGTGCTATATTGCAATGACTTAATTACTAGACATTAAGCTGGTTTCCCTTCCTTCAAGATTGGCAACTTGTTTGGTGTGAAAGACCCTGTCCCTGACAGGCTTCGTTCATGTGTGGTTTATAAGTTTGTATGTGCTGGCTGTAATGCCTGTTAGATCGGTGAAACATACCAGCATTTTTCCACACGTGTTAGAGATATCTTAGTCAATGACAGGTCCTCTCATGCTTTCAAGCATCTGCAAGATTCTGCACATTGTCGCACTTTGTGTTCAGCAGATATCTTCCATGTTTTAGATCACGCCTTTACTGGTTTTCAACTTAAGATAAAGGAAGCTATTCATATTCAAAGAGAACAACCATCCTTGAATCAACAATTACACCGTGTAAATCTGAAACTATCCTTTTAATTCTCACACTTTCATGCTTTACCTGTTTTCTTCTTGTCACTATTTATCATAATAAGCATTGTTCTACTTGCTATATAAAATTAATTCAGCTTCCAAGCTTTATACATTAATTAACTGAAGACGACAGAAGTTTCTGTTGAAACATGTATTACAAACTTAAAAGTTTTGTTGCTTTCTTTAAATTCTATGTTCTGTTTGTACATTGTAGGAATCCTTTTCATCCAAGGCTTCAACAACGCTGTCCTCCCCAAGAGCAGCCAACCAAGATCTGTCTCAAGATATCACGGTAGACAATTAATGATGAAGAGAACTGGCTCATATGGATAATGTTGCTTAAACTGTACATCACTGTGCTAGAAAAGTTTTGTCATCTTAGATAGGTCAATTATAATATTCAAAAGTACTGTCTGGTTTTTTTTTTATGAGAAAGCAATGTTATATGATGTAGTAAGTCATATATCATTGCTTTCTTCCTTCGTGGGGAATAAACCATTTCCAGAACTCAGTCCTTTTGAAGTGGCTTCAGTTGGTAGTCTAGTTACAAGAAGCACTAAATTATTATCTGGAAGGCAATGGTTCCATTCCTTTCACAACTTGACTTTTTTGAAGCTTTTGTCATCACAGCCAATTCTTATAGTCCAGGGATTACCTTCTATAAATAACTGTCTGCTATGAAATGCATTTGTGTATGTCTCTTCATTTTAGGTACTTTGAATTCTCTTTTTAGGAACTGGAAGAGGAAAATGAAATGCTAAACCAAGAATTGAATAAACTAAGAGTTCAACACCAGAAAACTCTAGAAAGGGTAACAAAATTTACCAACTGAACCTTTTTCAGTCATTTCGCAGATAATTATGATACTTTATGTTATGATGTCTTTGTGTGTGTTTACATTCAGTTGATAAACTAATAGTACTTCCAGCCTTGATAAGCCCTTCAGTTTCCTTACTTTTCTGTGGCCCTGTTATCTCTCCATAAGTATATTTTTGTTTATTTCCTACATGTGAGCCCCTGTGGCAAATAGTAATCAAGCCTGATCTTTTTCCAGACTTTAATTTTAAAAGTTTTATGTTACTGAATGTGTTATACATTTCATCATCCTTTAGTACATAAAATCTTTATTCCTTAAAGTTCACATTGTGAGCATCCAAGGAGTGTTTGCCATTAAGAGAGGTTAAAACATACTGTATGTACAAATTCTCAGAGTAAATCATGTTGACTTCTTTTTGGCTGCAGCTTCGTGGCCTTGAAGCCCAGCAAGAGAGCAAAGCACCAGTAGTGACAAATCATATCAATGTAAGATATTGTAGAATTAATATGTTGTCATTTCCTATTCATAAGTTTACTACGTACTCTCTGCACTATAATCTTCTTTTTTGTTTTTTCCTCCATTTGCTTAAATGTTTGAGTTTAAGTAAATACATGGCTTCTTTGTTATTGACATATTTAGGGCCATATAGAGGAAGAATTATTAGAAGAAAAAGACAAAAAAATACAGGAGCTAGAAAAAGAGGTAATGGCTTCTTTCTGAATTTCTTTTGCAAGTCCTTTCAACTGCTTTTCAACTGGGTCTGAATTATTATTTTTTTTTGGGGGGGGGGTGGGGTGGTGGAGGAAAAGGTACCCAGTTTTCTCTGTTCTAATGTGGTGGACAAGTAGTTAAAAGGAGTTTACAAAACTCAGAGTGAGCAAACATTTTCTTGAACCACTCAGTGTAGTCTCTTTTGTGATCATAACTGAGTATCTGACAATATTGTTGGGTAAGTCCCTTAGTTGATATCTGATCTTGTGCTTAGATTTGAGTGGATCAGCTTTCCCTTCTTACCAAAAATAATTGAAATGACATTCATTGCAGTCTTCTATTTAATACTCTTGATTAAGTAAAATATTAAAGAAAGGAGCAAGTAAATTAAAACAAACAAATTTCAATTAATTTCAAAAGTAAGGAAGTATGATTAGAGAAGTGGTTGGACTGAAAAGATAGCGAGAATTAGTACATTAATTTCATTCATAGTTGAAAGCCTGTTATCTGGTGAATGCATCTTTAATGTTTGATAACAAGTCTTATTCCTTAAATGACCAGGTTGAGAAATTAAAGGAAGATTTAACAAATGAGGAAGAGTCCAGATGTGAAGCTGAGGTAGGAAACTTACTTAATCCATTGATCCCTAAGAGTGACCAGCATCTAATTTCTCCTAAAAATATCACCTCTGAATCAAACAGTAAGGTCACAAGAATAAAGGAAATGATCACCAACTAAATAAGCTGTTGATCATTATTAATATAAATTCTCCTTTTCAGAACCCTAAAGAATGTTTAGAAAACAGTATGGAGAATAGGTATACTGATGTTAGGGTGTAAAGGGTTAACTGTAGATAAAGTCTGTAACCTAAAGCCCACTACCCCTTCCCTTTAGATTAGACAACTGGCTCTGAAGCATTCATTTTGTTCTCTCTGTTTTGCTAGTTTCCTTTGTTTCTTAATTTATAAAATTTCATTGGTGAAAAGGCAAACAGAGGCAATGTTCATCTATGTACTTTTAAAATGGTGCTGACTGAAACAATAAAGGATTACTTACATTGATCTTGAAATAATTAATTTGTCATTTGCTTTGGTTTCAGCAAGAAGTAGAGAATCTCAAAGCTCAAGTGGCAACATTCCAGGTCAGTGACTGTGTTAAAAAAACTATGTGATACTGGACATTTGAATTACCGTTGTTTTCCCAGGGTGGTTAATGCTTTTTATTAGTGAGTGCTGCAAAGCACCTTTTCGGACATACACTATGAGCAACCCTGTTTGAGAAAGATTTGCTTTATTCAAACTTTAATTTTTTTTAAGGTAGGTACTCTGTGTCACTAATATTCTTATTGAGGCACCCTGATATATCATTATTTACTACTCTTTCAGGATGAAAATCAGGGTGAATTTAACTCCAGTGAAACTGATGATGATATTGATTTACCAGGTCAGTCCTGTCCTTTTCAGATCAAAGCAATTCATATTACTGAAATTGCTCTGATTCAAAAAAATAAAGCATCAAGGACTTTCCAAGTGTTATGTCTGTGTTTAAACTGATGACTGAACAGATGATTTAGACTGACCATACTAGTAAAACAATTCCACAATCGATCAATATTTTTTAGTTTTCAAATGCCACCAAAAGGATTCACAGTGGATGCCTGGGATTTGGGAACCAGAACAGGAAGGAAAAAATCCAATGGAATGTTATGAAACTTAATTTATCTTGAAACTGCACCCTTTAAAAATAGGATGTTTACAGAAAAGTGATTTCCAGAATCTATTGAATACATTTACTCTGTTTTCATCTAACTAAGTTGCACTAAAGTTTTGGATTTAGTGGATGTCATTAAAATGCTGTAATTCTATAATAGCCCAGATTATAGTGCAAAAAAATAAAAGGCTTCAACAGCAGTTGATACTGAGGATCTTGTGTTCCTTTTCTTGTTTAAGTGGAAGGGAAGGATTAGTGGTAAACACACTAGTTCAGGGCTGAGGGGTCAATTAATGAGCATATATAGTAGGGTCAGTGTGTTTTGTATCAGGGTAAGAAGAACACTTTCCTCTCACAATGCCTCTCCACCCATTAGTGAAAATTGGTACTGGTTATCTGTCAGAGAAAAGAATTTCTGGGAGGGGGGTGGGAAGGGGAGAGAGTAACCTGTGACAAAGCCATCATCCAATGAAGTGAGAGTGGCCAAATGAGCTACAAGAGTGAGGAAGCAGATCTCGACTTAACCTTTATGGTGCATTTTCTTTCAATGCAGGTGTTGATCAGAACTGGGATTCAAAGAACAACAACAAGCTCTCCAAAAGTAAATTACTGTTTTATTGCTTTGTGTTTTTCTTGAATTTTTCCAGCCTCCTTTAAAAACATTCAGTTCTAGTAAAGTTGCTTGTTTTCGTGCTAGATGCACAGCCGGACCAACTCATTTCACTGCATGGTCAGGTCACAACTCTTAAACTTGAGAATGAAATGCTAAAAGAGCAACTCCAGGTAAGTTCTGCTAAAACAAAATGTCCTCTAAACTGTACAGTCAGTAACTGATGTAAATATCTATGTTTCCCTTTGGTAATAATTGCCGGTACGTTGATAACTTTAATTCTATGGTAATTTGTGTTAATTTTAGACCCACTTAAATTTAGAGAGTTCGTCTTTCTAGGAAAACTCCCTCAAAAACAAAATATGATATTATGACTACTCACTTAATAAGACGAGAACCAATTTGTTTTTGAAACTCACTAAGTTTTGATTGTATTTTTCAATGATCTCTTTAGGCCCGAAATGTTTTGTAATTTCTGCTTTTTAGAATTAATTCTTTTTCTATAGAGGCTCTTTATGTTCTAATATTTGTCCTCGGCTTTTCTTCCGTTGGAATTTTTTAAAATTGATGTCTCAGTACCCTATCAATGTTTTTTCGTCTTTTAACTTTTCTCCCTATGTTGAATATATTTTTTTTGACTTGTAAATCTCCACAGCGGCATTCTCGAGTCAATGGAGATTTGATTGATAGCCGGGTCGATCGCGACATACCCACAATTCCACTGACAGTTTATCAGCAGCTCAAGGTAAGATACATTTACCCTACAGCAACTTAGCGACTACACTGTTTACAATCAACTAAATACGTTATAAACTGCAACAAAAATTCCTTAAAATGCGCAAGATTTGAAATAAGTGCAGTAGTTATAGGAGGGGAATGAAGAAAAAATTTAAGAAGGTTGTGTTATCGCAGAAAAGCGAAATATTTGATTAAATGACAAGGCCATCTAGAGAGATGGAAAAAAAACTTTTATCTTTGGTTACATTTTGAATATTTCTCCTATGAAGGTCAGTTTCCTTACCTATGTTCTACTCTATCTTTTCCTATATTTTTCTCTCACTTTGGAAAAGATAAGAGCGCCTTCAAAGTTACAGTGTCTAACACTACCTGAGCTACTCTTCCTCGCACACTTTTTCACGCAACGCTCTCTCACTTATTATTACTCTCACTCTCACTCTCACTCTCACTCTCACTCTCACGCTTATGCTCATACTCACGCTCACTCTCACTCACTCTCACGCTCACTCACGCTTATGCTCATACTCACGGTCACTCTCACGCTTATGCTCATAATCACGCTCACTCTCACGCTCACTCTCACTCACGCTTATGCTCATACTCACTCTCACTCTCACTCTCACGCTTATGCTCATACTCACGCTCACTCTCACTCTCACTATGATCCTTGAGTTTCTTACTCTTTGCGTTTGAGATTCACATGCTTCAATCCCGACGATGTAGCTTATGAATGAATGTTAATGAATGAATTGTTTCCTTCTCTTGTAGGAATCAAATGAAGACGAAATATTTAAGTTGACGGAAGAATTGGAAGAGCTCAAGATAACAAATGAATCCCTTCAAAAGGTGTTTTGACAAATTTAATTTTAACACTGAAGGAAATACGACGAGGGATAACTCCATGATTCAGTCGTACGATAAAAATGTTTAATCCTCAGATTACCTAGTAACGTTTTTATTATTTTTGTCACAACTGGTCGTTCCTTTGAGGAATATCTCGATAAGTTTAAATTGTATGTAATTGGCCTTAAGTAAGTGTCTCAACAAATTGTTTATCAGATTGCTCCTAATTCTTTCTCGGTTGTCTGTTAGGGAAAGAAGCTGGATAGGAGCGCTTTAGATGATAGGCTTTCTCCTTTCCCATTACCTCTTAAGCGCAAATAAATGGTTAGGATTCCAGTCGGGTTTCTATTTTCCCTAACAATTTGTAATTTTTTTCTCTATTTTCAACAGTCAATCGCCAACAGTGGATCATGTCCTCAATGCGGTCAGCTCAAAACCAAGTCGGGAAATTCATCAAATAATACAACAGAACAGCGATTGATTGCAGAGTTAAAGGAGCTCGAGCATCAATTTCAGGTATAAAAACAAAAAGAAAAACAAAGAACATTGTTATAACTGAACATGTCATTTTAACTTTATCCAGCGTAAAAAAAGATTTCATCGTCTTATCGCGAACTTGGGATAGAGAAAAATTGTCCTCATTAGGAATTCAACCTCAGACCATTTGATTCCGCGCTCCGATGCTTTACCACTTACCGCGGTATCTGAAAGTTTCACCCCATTGCGGTTTCGCCCCCTGAAATAAAACAAGTTCGCCCCCACCTTTACCAGTTCGCTCCCAAATCTTTCAACTTGTTCCTTAACTGCAGAACGTATTCCTTTTCTGTTTAGATCATACTGTATATCGATCCGCGTGAAGTTTTCTTTTTTCTGAGTCAAACGTTTGATCAAGAAAGCGTGCTAAGTCACGACATATGAGTTCGAGTATCAAACCACCAAATGCTTACTGGGCGTTGGTCGTTTAGAGCGTTCGTCTCAAGCAACTAGTTTGTAATGTTAAAATCAAGGCTTTAAAATTGATGGCTGGTTCAAAACGTATCCAAGAAGTTGCTCAAGTCTTCCGCCCGCCGTTTGCTTCTCAGCCGAGAAAAATCTTTTCAAAATGGTTTTGATTGTCAGTCCCCAGATTTAAGGGGATTTATGACACAGGAAAACTGCCGTACCTGTATTACTTAATCCACGTAATTGTCTTCGGTAGGAGGCTGAAAGAGAATACAGAGAGACTATAAACATGTACAGACTACAACTTCTAAATGCAAGCCAGGTAAGACTCTCTTTTCGATTTCGTGTCTCGTCCCCAATTCTCTTTTTATAAAAGTTCAGAAAAAGTTGGCTAGGGACGAATAAGTCTGCGAAGGGCTGACTCTTAAACCGTCGGCATTTCCAAATTTGTTGCAGTCGAAGATTAACCCTTTACACCCTTACATTAGTATTCATATTCTCCAAACTGTTCTCTATACATTCCCTACGGTACTGACAAGGAGAATTTATTTGACAATCAAAAGCTTTTTAAATTGGAGACCATTTCCTTTCTTCTTTGGACTTTAATATTTGATTCAAGGGGTATACTGCAAGAAGAAATTTGAAGCCAGAGAATCTTAGGGGTTAAATGGTTACACTATAACCCAATGGATAAATGTTAGTAAGTAATTGTGTAGCGATCAATGACACTTGTTTTTCTTTTTACTCAGCTTGAAATGGACCCTGAGATACAAGAAGTTCTTCAAATGATCGTTAGGTTAAGAAGCAGTGAACAGTTTTGCTAAAGAATTACCTGCTGTGTATAAGCAAAGAAAGGTTCCTATCATTAAATACGAGGACCTGCAGTTGAAGTACTTCCGAAATAGAGATAATTTAAGTCCGTTGAAATGAGTTTTGCGATGAAAGAAGCATTTATCATACCAAATTCTTCTCAATTTATGCAAAGAGAACTTAGTCTATATCAGATAGTGTCATATATTTATTTATTTGTAAGAATTATTCTAGTGTACGTTTTTTTTAAAAACTTTTTGTTTCAGTCCTCTCGCGGCTCCGGCGTTAAACGCAACATGGCGCCGCAAACCTGCGTACGCCGGAAGTTTAAAGCTTAGTTTTAGTTTGAAGGCTAACTATAAGATAAACGAATATAATTGTCTCAAGTGCTAGCACTTTTTTCTACCAGCAGTATGGTTTTCAAAAGAGGAGACACTGTACAGTGGAATTTTTATATTTCGCAGTTTTCAACTATCTTAATTGGTTGAATTGGTATTTTGTAAGATATTTCATACCTTTCGTCAAGTTTCCATTTTATTTTAGAGCAAATTTTTATTTTAAACGTTCGTGCGGATTTTGTATTTACCAATCTCTTGTACATTACAAAACAAATGACCTGTTCTTTAAGTTATTTGTTTTTTTTTTATCAAGTTATTCTTAAGTTATGTTATAACGTGTAGTATGTATTTTGCATGAATGAATTTTACCTAGTTTTGGTATATTGTGTTGCCATACAGTTTATTGATAGTCTGTCGGACTTCCTCGTAGCCTATAACAGCTCTACATCCACTTCACCCGACTGTATTACCAGAGGAATAACAGTGACAGTGGTGGTGTGCGTACACATTACATAGGAAAAGGAGTTATCGTGGGGATCCGAGATGGAAATATCTCTCGTTATATGAGTGACGTCATAGTGAAGGGAGCATGTCATAGTCGCACAATACCTGAGGGGGCTGGGGTTGGGGGTAACACTGCATGACGCCAGAATCCCAAAGGCTTCTGTAAAAACTTACGACTAAATAGACATCGAAAGACGAATCGACTGAGTTTCATTGACACTCACGAACAAAACAAAGGAAAAAAATACCATTTTTCTATTGCGCGGGCATCGAAATTGCATACAAGGCCTCGGCTGGTCTCACCCATGCTTAGTCGCTCGGTAGTGGCTATAGTTATTAAATAACATACTCACTAGATCAAACGTGCATTCCCCGAGATAATTAATTTCTCATAGGTGTTTATAGAAAGCCCTCGATTACTGCTTCCTCTCGACATTCATTCTGCATTTTTAGTGTTTGCCTACAATCTCCCTCTCTTTTCGCCACGCGGTTTAGGTTAGAACTTGCGGTTTCACCTGGAACTTTGAAGGTCCAGTCCGGTTAAAAGAATTTGAGAATAAATAATATCCTCTATGTGGCGCGAAAGTATGTACGGATAATTGTTCTCGGAGATTATCGGTTCCTGGAAGCTCACTTTTCATCTCGGAAAAGATAACATCCAAGGACAAATGTCCGTACATGTTTTCGCGCCAAATAGATGCTATTGTTATTTATCCAAATAACTACTTAAATATATCGAAACGAGCTTTGAGAGGGAAGATGATAAAAAAAAAAGTGTTGGAAAAGGGAGATTGAAGTCATTATCATTACCGCCCTCGCGTCAGCCAATAGGATTCAAGTATTACTTACATTGAACAAAGTTTGACGATTGAAATCGGACTTTCAGTCAGTCATACGGTCTGGTCGTACTTCTCTTGGTGAAAAAAATAATAAGTTGATATCGCCATCGTCCTTTCAGTGCAAGCAAAGAGAATGTTGGAACCGTGACTAGCCACTGGATGAAACCAAGGGTACTATGAATGGTCATTTAATCAAAGGTTTCTTTGTAGATCTTACCAAAGTGGCGACTTACCTGAGCCGATGAACAACTTACCTTTCTCCAAAACTATCATAACAAGAACACATTTTCATCCGTCTGAAAAGACTCGCTCACTTTTAAAATCTTAGCAACTTTATTTTCTATTTTGCAAGTACATACAATAAACCACACATTATTCACACTACAGAAATTTTGAGTCCTAACTACAGAGTAAGCTTACTAAAATTTTTGGCAGCTTGTTTCAGATCACAAGTAAAAGATACGTTATTGGCACTCACATTCACCACACAGCATATCACATATGCAAGAATTTGCCACTGATACTGAAAGGATAGGACTTGACTGGCCTGACCACAGAATAATCATAATATGAAAGCTCAGGCAAGCGCCCGTGTGCAAAATACATTAGTAAAATTGAACTGATTAGTGCCAGTTTTTAACAAAAAATACATTAGTGATAGTCACACTCATCTCAAAGAAAATTGTATAGTAAGCAATAGCTTGGAAATAGTTCTGTCCTAAATTATAATGAACACAATTACAGGGCTAAATCTGCCACTGTATTATCAGTCTAAAGGATTATCTGTAGCAGGAACTTTGATGGCTGACTCATCATCATGCAGGAGGTTGATAAAGGTCGTGAAGTTGCTTCTCAACAGCATCAAAGTACTGTTCAGTTGAGCAGTACTGGTCCCGCTTTACACTATACAAAGCAACAACAAAATTTTAAATTCTCTGCTGAAATAGATAAAAAATAAAGCAACATGAAACATTCCAATCTATCTCGGCCAAGTTCAACTTACTTGCTAAGTCCATAGATACAAGCAGCAAGATCTTTAGTCATATGACCGTTGTCAACAGCATCAACACATGCCTTCTCAAGAGCCTTGCAGAACCTGGTGGAAACAAAAATTAAATCATTTGGTAATCAACTGGGGTCATAAAATACTGCTGCTCCTATTAGGGTTTGTAGATGTGTTTGTGTTTGCTTGTTCATGTTTCCATAATTTTTGGGGTATAGCTACTTATGGTGATATGTTACAAAAAAAAATTCAACTAAGCACAAGCTAAATATTGCACTAGAGAACTAGTTCAGTAACTTTGTTATTAAAAGAGACTATTTTGTACATTAGACCTTTTCAAGACATTTTGCAGTAATGGCTGAATCTATGTGGGAGAGAAAGGCAGTTCCTAATCTAATCTGTTAGTCTTCCACTTAGGGTCTTAGTTTCCAGTTTCAAGCACTGGCCACAGCCATTATGTTCTGTCTTTGGGGGGAAAAATTGTGTTCTCTCGATTTTTTGGGGATACTGAAAAAAGGTGCTCAAGTGTTACCTATATTGGAATACTCTAGATCTGTTTGCATAGCAGGTACATGTTGGAAGGGGGTTCAATATGTTGAGGCTTCAGTCACTAAGCAACTTTGAAAACATACTTTTTGAGCTCAGCATTCTTGTCTAGTCTTGCTCTGTGACGTAAACCTTGAGTCCATGCAAAAATACTGGCAATGGGATTGGTACTTGTCTCATTTCCCTACAACATAAACATCAAAACAAATATCAAATACTACAACTTGTCAGGAGTTTTTCAAGCACTTCATTCATGACCATTAGAATACAAAGAATCGACCTCCTTAAAATCCCTGAAGGTTCCCTGATGGGTAGATACCAAAAAAAGAGTAAAAGGAGATTAGAAACAACTTAGCAAAAAAGTCAATTTGGCAGCCCAACCACATTGAATCCCTGGCAAGATATCTGTTCAGAAATCACTAAGAAACCAAAGTGAGGGATGAACACTCACAAAGAAAGCACAGGAGGGTGGAAGGGTGAGGGACAGAGTGGATGAAGGGGAAAGTGGAGGGACAAGGAAAGGTTGCTATGGGAGCTGGGAGAGAAATATGGAGGGAGGGTGCAATGGAGGGAAGGAAAAGAACATGTAGATGACTTTGCCAGAATGATCAGCCTCATTGAGAAAACACCTTGATTGAGTAAAAATCCAGGATTTCATAATAATCATGTCAGCTGTACCTTCTGGTACTCCCTGTAATGTCTTGTCACAGTACCATGGGCTGCCTCAGCCTCTATTGTTTTGCCATCACCACATACTAATACACTTGTCATAAGACCAAGGGAACCAAAGCCTGCAAGAAATCAGAATCATTAACACCCTCTAGCTAATCAATGAGCTCACTGGCTAGAGTAACACAAGCTTCAACAAATCTCTCCTCATACCCTATCATGTATATGTGCATGTACATTATACATTGTACATTGTACATTGTATATGGAGCCATCATGTAAAAAATTAAGGAATAAGCCAAAAGTGCTTCTTGTAATTTCTCTCCACCTTGTTCTTGTTCAGACTCTTTGGAGATTCATAGGCCAGGGTAAATTTTGGAATTATGGGGAAAAGTTTGCTGTGTAGTCATCACTATCCTGCATAACAAGTTTGACTCACTTTTTTTGAGCCTTAAATACTCAAAAATATGATATCCAGCAAGTTTTAGCCCTTGAGAACTTACTCAAAATAAATGGCACCCCAACTGATAGTCCTGTATGCCACACAAGTGGCACCTTATTAACACAGCTGTACTTTGTCTTTTCATGGACTAAACTCTCAAGTATTTTGTAAAGTGACTGAGACTACCTTAGATTAGACCAGTAAGAGTCTGAAGTTTCATTTCGACTGGATGACATTCAGTTAAAATTCAATCAGACAGTAATTTTCTTCAGAATTTAATTTGGAACTGACTCATTAGTGAAGCCAATTACTACACTTTGTGTAACCACCACAAATGTGAATTATGGCACATACCTTGTGCCAGTGTATCAGATTGGACATCCCCATCATAATTCTTTGCTGCCCAAACAAATCCACCAGGAGATTTCAGGGCATAGGCCACCTAAAGAAAAAGAAACCTCACTTGTCATGACAAAGCTTGATACAACCATAACACGATTCACACAAGAACACATGGCATTTTGGCATATCAGTAATTAAAGGCTTCTTTGTGTAACTTAATGCAAAATTACTGGACACCATAGATGTCATACTGATTCATGTAGGAATATCTAATAATCATCTTCTTGTCTAGGGAAGTTACTATTATTATAGTAGTGGTGCAACCTGCCAAACTTGAAAGTTTGCTGATACCTAAGAGTGACTAACATCTAATTTCTCTGTACAGTATCACCAATGAATCAAACACTGAGGTTAGAAAAAAGAGGAAATGATCACCAAATAAAGCAACTCTTGATTGTAAAAAAATTTTCCTTATAAACACCTCAGCAAATGTATAGAGATCACCATGGATAATATGTGTGCCAGGGTTAAACAGCTGGTAATTTACCTGCTTCAATACAACCTAAATTACAACCAAGTTATACAATGAATAATGGCAGGCAATTGGGCAGATACAACTGACCTGCTTCATACTCATTGAAGAAAATGAGTAAAATGGTCTTTAGCAATGGCTAGCTCCATTGGAAGAAGCTGGTAATGTTATAACATCCAGTCCATACTTACAACAAACACTGACTTTCACTTACCATGTCATCAATAAGTCTGTGCTCATACCAAATTCCAGCTTCCTTAAATTGATCTTTGTAACTCCTGAAATGTAAAAACAATCACTATGCATTTGAATGATCCTCACTTAACATGTATCTTTAACCCTTTAAGTCCCAATATCTAATTGTTAATTCTCCCCTCTAGCTGCTACACATTTCCTTGTACATTGGTAAGGAGTATTTGATGTAAGATCAAGGTAAATACTCCCACCTGATAGGTTTTAGTATTCTCATTACCTGTTTGCTGGATAATATAATTATGTAATATTATAACCTGGAGAAGTTAAACAAGTAAATCACTTGTGGAAGTTTACGGGTTAGGTCATGAAAATGGTTCATCCAGATTTAATGCTAAGCATGACATTCACCAGAGGTTCCTTATGATGTGAGTTTGGATCAACTAATAATCCCTTAGTTTATTTTTCAAAAAAAAAACCAAAACAAAACATTTCTTTATTCTCTGCTTGATACTGTAAGAAGAAATTCTATCTTGGTCACTCATGGAGTTGTGGTTAGTGCGCTCAACTCCAGATCGAGTGGTCTGGGTTTGAGCCAGGGTCTATGTGTTGTGTTCTTAGGTAAGACCCTTCACTCTCACAGTGCTTCTCTTCACCCAGGTGTACAAATGGGTACCAGCAAATATACTAGGGGTAACACTGTGATGGACTAGCATCCCATCCAGGGGGAAGTAGCAATATTCCAAGCCGCTTCATGCTAAGGACACTGGAGCTAAGCCCCAACCATGGGCAACTTGGGCCTGTATAAAGGCTTTACTTTACTTTTTTCACTCATGGAGTTAAAGGATTAAATAATTCAGTCTGTGAAATAAATTTACAAATTTACAAATTTACACAAGAGTCATGTAGTTTTACCTTCAAGGTAAGCATGAAAGAAAAAACTACCTTTAAGACATCTAAAACCAGCTACTATAAATAATTTTACAGAGAAAATAAATTTATAATACTACTGCCCATTGCTTGACTGAAGGGAGTAAGGAACCAAGAATAAACACCAAATACCATTATACCTTTCGTAAATCTCTTCAAAGATATCCTTAAATCTGCCATCATACTTCTTGAGAATTGTATTCTTGGTGCTCATATACAGGGGCCATTCTTTACTCAATGCATATTGGAAGCAACTGTGAGCAAAATCCCTGATTGACTGAAAATCACCAACACAAAATAAAGCACAGAGAATTAAATTTTTGCATTTCATATCTGCACAAATGTCATATCAAAGAGTGCTTTTTTTCAAGGTTGGGCCTGCTTGAGGAAGAAAGAAATGAAAATAACTTGCATTGAGGCATCCTTGATAGCACTTTTTCCATATTTCCTTACAGAAGAAGATTTCTTAAACTGGCTAAGACAATGAGAGAAAACTGCACAACAACTATGCCCTGGAGGAGTTCTGAAAAGGAAGCCTCCTCCCTAAACTATATTAAGACTCTTCTCTTTCCTCTTTGTATGCACAATAATTTTAGAACAATTGATACAAAACTGACCAGTCCAGTTGAAGTAGTCAATATAAAAAGAAAGCAAGAAATAACTCAACAAATGAATACCTCATCAGTGTTATACATGCCCATGGTGACACCTCCAGTCCCTGTAAACTCAAACACCTCAGTGGTCAGCTTTTCACTGCCATCAGCAGGTCTGTAGGAGATTTCAAACACTCCTGGTCCATTCACGACAAAATCTCTTGCACGATACTGGAAGCAAAAAGAGAGTTTCAGTCAAGTCACACAGCAAAATAATTAGAATACTTTCTTCTCGAGACTAAGGTTTAAGAGCTCAACACCTAATTTCTTAGGATACTAGCGGTACATGCATTTTTAGGACACATATCTACGCATTAATTTGATCTCTAATTTAAACTGCCCCTCAGAAAAATGTTATTTATTAACAACTGGTTCATCACTTACTTACAAGGGTGCTTTCAGAAACAGTAACTCTGCAGAAAATGTTCCAGTATCCATCCAGTTAATGAAATGGTAAGCAGATGGGAATCAGTTGAAACTGTTGTCAATCATGTGTCATTTTTGTCTGCAGTGACTTGCAACTGTCAACCCTGTGATCTAATTTCTGTACCCACTTGTCTCACATATATAAAAAAAGATGTGTTTGTTGTTTATCATGGTTCTGAATAAATAAATGTTTGATCATTCCTTTCATGATAAGGAATTATTATCAATTGTTTCAGTTGTATATTAAAACATTTTGACTGCTTCTGAAAAGTGAAAGTTTTTGTTGAGTGAGGAGATTGTTTTTATGCATCACTGTATGTAGTACATTGCTAGGCTGCTACTGATTCATTTTGGAATGCTGCAAGGGGTGCAAATAAGTCCTTAATATTACTCTCACAAGTCAGTGTAGTTATCTCTGGTTTAGTATTTGATTAGGCTCAAACTTTTTTCCCATTCTTTCACTGCTCAATACTTTTATGGAAGGAGCTACTTTTTTATATAACCTAGTCTGATATGGTTACCTGGTCGCCATGAGCATGCCTTCCAATCACAATTGGCTTTTCCCATCCAGGGACCAGTCTGGGAACTTTCTGGCAAATGATTGGTTCACGGAATACAGTACCACCAAGGATGTTTCGAATGGTGCCATTAGGACTTCGCCACATTTTTTTCAGGTTGTACTCTAGAAAATGTGTATAAAGGCGGTTTGAAGGACATTTTGTTAAAATAATCAATACTCACCCACAAACAATATTTTTGCATGTTATGATTTGAACAAAATTGCACATTGAAGGATATCATAAGCAAAAATTGTTTTAACCCTTTACACCCTAACATCAGTATTCATATTCTCCATACTGTTCTCTATACATTTAGCAAGGTGCTGACAAGGAGAATTTGTCTAATAATCAAGAGTTTCTTTAGTTGGTGATCATTTCCTTTATTCTAATAACATCAATGTGTGATTCCATGGTGATATTGTGAGGAGAAAATAGATGCTAGTCACTCTTAAGGGTTAAAGGATTCAAAGGGACACTGTCTCAGTGGGTTATAGAGCACTCTTAACCCAATACATGTGTACATAGGGAAAAATGAGAATATTGTACTTGCAATTAAAAGGAAAATTAAACAAATGAAAGCAAAACTCTCGTTACGTTTCTAAGAAGTTTACATTTTATCGAGTTAGAGTCACATCAAAAACAGCAAAAACATCTTCACAAAAATAAAATTAGAAGATCTTGAACACTAGAAAAAGAGTGATGACTCGCATAAATTCACTCTTTCTCTTTAATTTTTAAGGGGTCAGAGATTGTTCTTTTCCTAATTAACCTAGTCACTTAAAGTAGGCTTAAAAAATGTCCACAAAGATCTTGTTCAACTGTATCTGCTATACACTGTAAAATCATGGTCTGTGGAGGTGGAGTTTGGTATATATTAAATAAAATGGAGATAGCTGATATAAGAACGCTGATAGATGAAATTCTTTGCCATCCTTACTAATATCATTTACATACAGTTACATGTACCTTTAACCCTCTCCTCATCTGGAGTGATGGTTGCACATTTAATTCCTACACTGTAATGCTTGATGGCTTCAGCAGCTTCAACTGTTACTTTGTCATCTGTATCGTCTCGATGTGGCAAACCAAGATCATAGTATTTTATATCCAGATCCAGATATGGTTTAATGAGCTAGCAGGAAAAAAATATCAAAGCTTTTAAATTACCCTTACTTTAACCTTTGGCCTTAATTGATGACTGCTCTATAATGAATACTGATGGCTAACAACTCTGTGTCTTTCATTATCAATTTTCGTGACAAGTTTTTTTCAGTTTTTTTAAGTCAGCATTAAATTCTACATTCCAGAGTTTGCTCCTTCTTTACCACAGCTATGTGATAAAAGTAGCCACTACAATCATGTTCTTATTGAGGTCATTAAAGCCTAGTGCTTTCTACTATCATAAAAATGCATTGAATGTTGCCTCACTTCATTCACTATCGCCTATCACTTCATATCTTCAGTGTTACTTTAATCCATTACTTATCGCTGCCTTAAACTGTTCCAGAGAATCGCTGGGAAACATTGATTATCAGTGAAAACCTTATTTCACTGACTACCCGTAGAATTACGGAGAAATCCCCTTTACGTATCAGTTTAAAAAAAAAAAAACGATAATTTTACTGCTAACAGTGACTGTAATATCCACCACAGACGCAACACCTCAGATGATGAGCGAAATTCACAATACTCCAACCCAAGGAATGAAATAGAGGTACATAGATGGCGTTAAGTGTTACAAATTCGTTTTTCCTCGCAATTCTTAATTCGCAATTACACTTCCCTTTCATTATTGTACCGCAAATTTGCACAAATTCTCATTGACTACCGCACACAATATCTTAATAACACTGGTTCCAACTCTGCAAACACACCAGCAGATTATTTGTGCTTCTTATCCTTCTTTCACAGTATTCAAAATAATACAAACATTGGTTTGGGTACTTAGCACACAAACAGTCTTAATCAAAATTATTAGGTAGCTACAGTTAACGGTTTCCATGAACACAGGAAGAAGGCTTTGAAATGAGACCACACATTGTATAGCTTCAAACCAGATCGACTAAACTTACCTGAATGTCAAGGTTAATACGTGCGACTGACTTCCTTCCCGTGTAAAATAATACATGTACTTAAGAGCCGGGTGCAAAATTTCACGCCAAAACGAGAAAATAGTAACTTGAATAATTATCCCTTCCTCGAAAGTTGCGTGTAGTTTTCTCGAGCTCAAACAATATTATTCAAAGAAACACTTCTAAGCCGGACTAAATCTTACGTTCTTGTTGCATAGGGACTTGCAAAGGCACCATGTATCTTTGTTAATAAGAGGCTTACTTCCTTAGGTATCCGAGTATAAATAACAATTCCTTTGTTCACAAATCGTTGCCAAACAAAATTTGTGCTGGCCAATTAATTTCTAGATTAGAAAGATCGGTTTTGTTACCCTCTCTTTAATCATTGTCCATATCACACGAGTCATCTCATCGCCGTCCATCTCAACAACAGGCCCATCCACTTTGATTTTTGTGTGTCCATGATGGCAAACTAAAACAAACAACATTCACGAGATCAAAATCAACATTCGAAATTCCATGTGCTTCGAGTCCTCCGCGCCTACTAGAAAGAAAAGAAACAAAAAATTATGCATCGCTTACAGTTCTTTTGCTGCCTGTGAGTCTCGAACGAAGCAGAAGAAACGAGAGCTCGCAATGTACTGCGTGCTCCAAAAAGAAAATTTGGAGAGCGTCTCACAATTGCCGCCATCCTTCGATACCTGAGGCCCGGAAACTGAAAACAAACCGCAAAGAGGCTGGGTACTAGGGGAGTGTCAAGGTGTTAGCAGAGGTATGTGCTAAGCAGGTCATGGTTGGTCAGTTATCGATTCCAATAAAGGTCATATTTGTGTAGCTATCAAAAGCTCCAATAGCTCTTAGCTTTTTCACATGAAAAGAAGCTTTACACGCACAGTTCTAGAATCATTCCTTTTGCCCCCCCTCTTTCGGGAGGCAAAAATTAATTACAAATCGAATGGCCTTGTAGAAATATGTAGGTCAAATGTTGCCTTCATTTTTGGGACGGTTTACCAATAGCACTACAATAATTAAAAATACTGTGAGCGTTATACAGAGTCTATACGTTTCAAAAGCGAGATATGAATTTGACGCGCTCACAAAATTACATTCGTAAGATTAGAAACGTTAAAATTCGTTTTGTTATTTGTTATTAAAAATTAAACCAAAAACGATAACTTCGTCCGAGGCGCAATTTACGAAGAGTGAACAGGGCCCTAGATATGAAGTATTGAAACAGCACATGCGGTTTCAATATCTGGACCAATACAAAGGCAAACACGCCAGCAAATAACGAAAATTTCTTGTAGTGTGACCGTAAGTTCCATCCGTGATCTGTTTCATATCAAACAGAGAGGAAATAATGTCAATGGTGACATCATCTTCCCGTCTTCTGTTCAACAGATCATCAAGAGTCACGGCCAACCACGAAGAAGATATTCAACAGCATTCCTCGAGAGTAAGGCGTATTCTAGCCAGTATAAATGGCACCTAAAAGTGAACTGTCTGACAAAATTTAATTTAAGTGGAATCGTTAGCTTTCCTTTTACAATATAGACTGTAGCGAGTCAGAGGGCAAAAACACATCTGGATTATTCCTCCCATCTTCGTTCGTCCATTAGCCCTTTGACACATCTTACTGGTAACAAGTTCGTCGCCACGGCGTCTTCGCCTTCCCATAAAAGCCCCAATCAGATAAAGCACACAGGTTTCAGATAATAAATATATTTATTTCAAAACTGGTGTTTATACATCTTATAGCGAAAAACAATATTATCTACATTATGGTCTCACACTTTGACAGCGCAGACGGAGTTCTTTACCAAGTTTCTTTTTCCTTCCGTGGAACTGGGGTAATTGGGCATGAGTAAACGGTCTAAAGAATTAGTATGTTCAAATTTTCAATCGCTAACTACGTTTTCCAATGAATAGAAGTCAATCATATGGAGTATTATAGCTTGTATTTCGTCTTCTGTGCTTCTTGGACACAAGGCCTGCCAATCAAACAGAATGAGTATTTCAAAATTACTCCAGGTAGGCTCATTCTGTTTCAAAAGCATTAACAAGAGAAATAAAAACAGTTTTGGTGGATTGCCTGTCATACTGACAAGATCAATTCGCTATTCCATAAACAGTTTAACTCCACACTTGAAGTAAACGCGTTTCAGCGCAACACCGGGTCTTCGTTCCAGTCTGGCGAACCTTCGTTTTAGTTCAGATAGCCTTTATTTTTGTCTGAGTTGTCTCCGTTTTAGTTCACACCGCCTTCGTTTTGGTCTGGAGAGTTTTCGTACTGGTTCGGAGGTTCTTCGCTATAGTTCGAAGGCCTTCGTTTTAGCCTAGTGGGTCTAAGTATAAGAGATTGACCTTTGAGACCTGGTTTTAATGACACCCTCCCTCAGATCTTGGAAGGAAAAGACCCCATTATATTGACTCTACTATGGTACATCTCCACTTTCGTCTACCAGATGAAAGTGGAGATGCATTATTTTGAACCATCAGTCAATGGTATTGACGTTCAAGAGGGCACAACTCCATCAAACCACGCAGTGGTCTCATGGATTCATGATACTTAATTGATAGCAAAAAAAATTGTTGCTGGAGCATTATCTCTCTGTGGAGCTAAGTACTCTGCGCTTTCATTTGGACGAAAAAAACCGAAAGAAATCTTTTATCAAAAATAACGGGACTTTCCTTTCTAAGAATTGCCGTACAAAAGATATTTCTGAATTTGTTTCCCCCATTTTAAATGGAAAAAAACTACAGCGAAAAGGGCCGTATTAATTGAGTTCCCATCACAAATGGAAGACGCCCACTGTTTTACATGTTTGAAACTGATTCAGTATGAAGGTACAGCACATTTAATTGAAGTGTCGTGTACCAAATACCTCAGTAATTATGACAGTCAATCAGAGAAAAGGTACAAATAACAAAGAGCCAATGGGAACTCAAAGTACAATGAAGCAAACCGAGTCAAGCAGGGAAATCGGAAGTGACCAAGTCGTGATTAGTTTTGGACTGTTTGCATCTGAATGTGCGTGATTGTGCGTGTTTGTGCAAAATTGTGGGCGATTTTTCTAGACCAATCACAAAGCGAAGTCAAACAAAACCAGTAAGGACCACATTACTTTTGACACTCAATTTAAAATCACTTAAGAACACCAACCTTCCACCAGGAATGTCTTGCACCCTGTGATGGAACATCAATCCCAAGGCATGTTAGAGAAAAGTAGATCATCGCTATTGCAATAACAGCTGGACTGTATTCCAAACATAATGTAGTGTGGAAACTATCTTGCAAAATACTCCAGCTAAGTTGACTTAAAGAACTGGTGATAGTACATTCCTTGTCTAGCCAGTCTTCAAGTGAGTTCAGGTAATGGAGAAGATACTATGACCAAAAAAAACCTTAGTAATCCATGACTGTCCTTAAAATAACTAAGGGGCCAGATAAACAAGTTGAAAAAAAATAAAAAAAAGGAGAGACTACCAACTCTTTCAGTAATCAATATTAGTGAAATAAAGCATGATGTTTAAGGTAACAGCGATTGGCAAAAATAAGCTCTGATTTTATAGGGCCTTTCATCTTGTCATCACATTAGGGTACTGATGTATAAATCTCATGTCTGACTGCCAAATAGGGCAAAAAAAAATTGTGCCAAAGGATAAGTATGTTTTATGTTCTATGTCTTCAGTATTTGGAAACACAAGTGACAACAACATGGATATGATAGCTGCTATATACAATTCACTAGCACAAACTTAAAGCCTCTAACACTCTAAATTGGCTTTCTCTTCTTTGATTTCTATCTGATTAGACTTTACAAATATGTTTAAATACCTTTTAGGATAACCCAGCCCTTCTTGGGGTCTCGTTCTTAACAAGAGGGCCACCAAACTTTAACCCTATAACCACAAAGAATGACTAGCATCTAATTTCTCCTTACAATGTCTCCACTGAATCACACACTAAGATCATGAGAATAAATGAAATGATTACTAAATAAAGAAACTCTTGATTGTCAAAAAAAATTCTCCTTATCAGTGCCCTAGGAAATGTATAGACTGGTATGGAGAATATCCTTACTGATGTTAGGGTGTATAGGGTTAAAGTGGGAGGCTAATTGGGCCCTCTTTGGCCATTTCTTAGAAGAAACCCTCATATGGATTCAAATTAAGACAACATTTTACTCAGTTTTACCTTGTGTGGACTGTCAAAACTGACTTGAAACTGAAGAGCTCGTAAAATCATCAGCTCACAATTAGCCACACTGTCGTGAAGTTCCCAATACAGAGACCCTACCTCCAATGGTGGTTTATCTCTGTGTAATAACCTGTTGGGTTATAATTAATTTTATTCATGGTGAGATTAGTTTTGAAAAGAATGAAACAAATGAACCAAAGTGACTTCATCTTTAGATAAAAAATACAGTACGTGGATAGGAAGGTTTTGAGTTATTGAGGGTTGCATTTTAACAAAGTGGCCAGAAGGGAAGAAAAACACTTTCATTCAGTGGGAGATTCAAAGGTTATCAAGTGTCAGCTGTTTCTATCAACTGTAAATCAGTCTGTTTCTATCAACTGTAGATTCCACCCTTTCACTGCCAAAATTTAAGTCTAAATTCTCTGCACTGTCTGCAGTACATATCTCATTATCTGAGCCCCTACAATGAATTGATATTGTTATTTCTTGTCATCTTTTTTCTGCTTTTTTATAGTTAATCCTGGAAGCAAAATGGTTAAAATAACTTCATCCCTTCCTCCATTACATTAGTTTACTTTGAGCAAATCATGAGTTGGTTTAGAAACTCAGTTTCCAAAATTTTACATCATAAGCATCATGCAAAGTTCATAGCATGCTTTGCACTTGGTTCAAAACAAAAAATTGGACAGAAGTTATCAGCTTAACTCTGGAACCACACTGGGATTAAGAAAGGTGAAACAATTAAAAGAAATAGTTAACAATTATCTTCACCTGTAAGATACATTTATCACATCTCGTAACTTGCAAGGAGATTCCTCAGTTTTGGATGCTAAATACAAAGCAGCAGTGGCAACAAGCTAATGATGTAAAATAAAAAATTATTATACATGAACAATAGAAAATCATGGGAAAATACTAGTTTAATAATACTCCAAGACCTCTCTCTCTCTGTCTAACTCTTCCATATACTACAATTCTAATTCAGTAAAGAATTTGGGGGGGGGGGGGGAAGGGGAGGGGGGAAATATTGGAAAATGCAATCGGAAGAGCATTCATCTAAGCTAACTTTAGACTGACAAGGGTATTTTTTAATTTTTTCTTCAGCTTGAAATATTCACACCCCAGGTATTCAGCTTTTGAGTGGGCTTCCTACCATTTCCACAATCAGTCCACATGAGGTATTACATAATCATATATGCAGATTAAATCCTACACCTGTTAGCTGATAAGGATCTGAGACTGTACCCTCTTTGAAATTTTCAATTGCTGGAGTCCATATACCCCCTGGAACCTTTAGCTTACAATATGCTTATAATATGCTCACCCAAGGGCAAACAAATTATTTGTGACATTTAGGGAGCATCTTACCATGCAAGGAAATTTATCCTATTGCTACAATTATGTCATTTAATATGAAGCAAAATGACAACTTACATTTGGATCATATTCACTCTGAAAATACTGCTTGTACAGACGATGATATAGAACACAAGCAGAAGCACAAGTGCCTGGCGGGAGCTTTAATCTTTGGCCTGAATTAAGAAATGTTGAAAAATCTAAACACAAATAATCTTAAAGAAAAACCTATTTCTACTATTTTAGTGACATCTTATTGCTTATTCAAGATTGATACATTCCTGGGCAGGGGGAGACATATCTTATCAATTATCACCAGCTGGATTGTTCAGCTTGATTTTTTAGCTCCTGCCAGTTGTTCTCCTTCTAATAAGAGACAACCACAACTAAAGTGTCTTCTTTTATTTAGCATTGCATGCATATATATTTCACAGAGTTTCAAACCATCTTTAAAAATCTATTTCACAATTTCAGAAACTGTCACAGAGTTGTTCTAAGTATGTGAAGGTTGAAATGCTTGAACTCTTTAAAATATCTTAGTCCAGTGCACAGATTGCATACAGTGATCATAAGCAAGAGGAAAAAGGGATGACGCCTTCTGCTTTAGCTCAAACTAAGCAGTATGAGTTTGATCAAGAGAAAGAAGTAATTGCAAGCTACACTATAAATATGTCTTAATGTGTGCTGTGTGGTTTTTTAAAGATATTTGTCTCTTTGAGTTTTCTCAATAACGCTTGCTGCTAATAAATGATGGGCATCAATTTTTTCCAATGCTGCTGCCAATTCAATTCATACATATTATTGCTCTGGATTAATAGTGCAAGAAAGTTTGTAACATGCGCAGATGTTTCAACATTCACTAGCCAAGAGCCCCTCCCCCTCCCCCAGCACAAGAGGTAGACCAACTATTCATACCAAGCAATAAGTGGAAATAAATGATACCGTTAAAGACTTCTATTTCATTCTTGTGTTCACATCACGACCTCACTTACCAGCCTCCATGATAAATGTTGTGATCTTCAAATGATTTTTGCGCGCTGTCTTACTTTCCACTACATTCACGTTGGGACCACTTTTAATCTTTTTCTCGCAACCTTGCCTGTCTACATTAGAGTTCTTGCTTGTTAAAGCTACTTTACGATCCATTGGTGTAACTACTCCGTAAAAGTTTTGTATTTTGTCAGTTTACATGAAAACATGGCGGCTTTACATCTCTTTTCATCTTTCCTAAGTCTACCATTTTGATTTGAGCCGTCAGTTGTCCAGCAGTTGATAACTAAACTCATGCTCAAAGTCAGCTGCGTGATATCGGTGTACCGACGGTCGGATCGTACTACTCTTGCTAAATATGAGGGAGTTAATGAAACGTTACCAATCTTTATCGAGATTCTACGCCACCCTTGGAAAAAACTGGTAAGCAATTACATTTCTACATATATTTTAAGACGTGCCATTGCCCCATTTTACATTGAAACCCCTCTAAAAAGAACCTCTGGTTTTTCGTGAATGGCTGTCTTTAAACCGGTCGAGATTTGTAACCAGGAGTTACCTTCGTCTGGGTATCAACTGTATGAATTGACTAGAACTGGTTTTACTTCTGAAAAGTCACATTCCTAGTTATAGCTTTGTGTTAAAAGCGCACTGAGTCCGGGTTTACCACAACACTAGGCCTAATGACTCTCGAGGTGATATATATTATTCAGGTATCCATATTGAGCAAAGCTTTTCGGTCTCTTTGCAATTCTTAGGTTACATTTAAGTTGCATTTCATATAAACCAAGAAAAATGTCACATGACTCAAGAATTAAAACTGGACGTTATTAAGTTTTTGTTTTTAAACACTTTTCCAGCTATTGCAATTGTTAATGAAAACCCTTATTATAATAAAGCAGTGCTCTCAAAATTTCTTAACTCTTCAACTCCCATCAGTGATTGCCTCTATGAATAATGTGCTCTAATAAATTACATCCTTATTAACCTGGTTTCCATTTTATAAACATCAAATTCTTTTAGCCAAAGGTTGGTCATATTAATTTCGTCCAGCTGTATCTGTTCCTCACAAAGCATGACATTTTCCCATACTTTTTGTGTGCAATTTTACAGGGTGCTAACAGCTGGTGCATGGGGAACAGGACTGGGAGTTGTTTTCTTGTACGTAACAGACTGGAAAGTTGTCACCCAAAAGATTCCTTTTATTAAGGATAAATATGATCATGAAATTCCTAAATGAGCGGTAAGTTGGCTAGTTTATCCGTGATGTAGAAAATCACAGGTTAGATTTCATCATGATTATTGTTCCAACCTTTTTCTTATTTCATTGCAGGAGAGCTGAGATTTGCACAGATGCCATGTTGCTTTAAGATGTCAGAGGACTGAATAATTATTTTACAGCTTCAAATATTTCCATTTCTGAAGCCAATGACCTTCTGGTGTTGTAAAGACTGTTGATTATTAAATGGTACATTTGTTTATAGCAGTAGTGTTAATGTTGTATGGTTAACTCCAATCAAAACCCATAAATGATGAAAGGAGATTTATGCTTTACAAATCATGGTCTTGTAAAGTAAACTAATTTGACCACTGTGAGAGTGCTTTTGTTTCAAAAACCTTCAGTTTTCTTGTTCCTGTTCTTGTTCTCTGTGGGCACTGTGTGAATGCTTGTGTGCCTGTAATTTCACCTGTGCTTATTTAAACTTTGGTCCTCAAGAGTGTTAAGATAAATATATCCTATTACACATTTTGGTGTGTAGTACCTCTGACTATCTTTACAAGTTTTGACAAATTTTTGTGTGCCCATAGGGCTTGCAAAATGCAAACAGTGATTAGAAATACTCAGTGAGACCACTCTCCAAAATGTCTAATAACTTATTTAAAATCCAACTGCTTCATTTTATGCAAATTTATTATATAGCAGGAAAAGCAAAGCAGATAGAGAAGCATAGCACGCACAGCTGACAGGTTAAACAGGTTTTTTTTTACATTATAAAATAAACAAGATGGCCAAATATTGGATGATACTCGATTCATTTGTTATTTGTGTTCTGCTTAGTTATAAGTGACTTTGGAAAATACTGAGACTTAATTGTCACTTTCAGGATCATTTTCTAGAAAGGCCAACTTCTTAAAATGTGTAATCAGGAGATGGTTGATTTTTTAATTTGCTTCCAAAATCCCCCTCCCCCCCCCCAGAAAAAAACTTTCTTTAGCTTTCTTTTGTTGTCCAAAGTCCAGATTCATTAAAAAATGACCATAAAAATACTATCCTTGACCAAAATAAGTTTTCATAGAGTGAAAATTTACTTGATTCCTTTCTTAGATGCACATAGGTGAGATATCCTAGGTAATCTAGTGCACTGAGACTGGGAGACTCCCAAATATTTATTGAGAGTTGGAATTTGAAATTTCTGAATAAATGTTCAGTGGAAGTGCTTTTGGTGGGACAGAGGTTGACATGAGTCAAACTGTAACAATCTCCCATTCAGAGTTATTGTCCTACAGGCCATTGATCAACAATCAGTCAAGTGTCTTGAACATTTGAAATGTCAATTTTTTAATATTTTTGGCCTTGAAATACCCATACCAACATATTGACCAGTAAACAATATCTTGAAAGCTAATTTCCAATGGTGATACAATCGCGGCTCTGTAATGACATTGAGTTTAAAGAAGATCCATGTTACTGAATGCATGAGTATATTTCTCCCACCTCTATTGTTAATGCATTCTTCATTTTGTAGAAGGATGTTTCTCTTTGCCACTAAACAAAAGTCTCCATTTGGGGCAAAAATATGCGCTGATATTATTTTTCCAAGATGCAAACAGTTTTCTAAGAGCAAAGCTCAAGAAAAACTGTGAGCTTAGAGGAACAAATTATTTCCAAGGACAAATACAAGTGCATATTCTCGCGCCAAAGGGAGGCTGTTGTGTCAATTATCCTTTAAATATTTTGCAACGTTGAAAAAGCGTTTACGAACAGCTTACTGTTTGCTGCGTGGGAGTTTTTCTTTTGAGTCTTCTCTCTTACGACTTACGAGCAAACAAATATTTCCCTTCTTCTGTAACAGCCACAAAACACCCTCTCATCTTGAATTAAATTTGAAACCGAGACTTATTGAAGAGGACTTAAGGTTTGAAAATGGGGAGTATCACTCGGGTGATGAATATCCCCCCTCCATTTTAGCTGGAAATGTTCGGACGCGTGATGCGTTTAGACCAGTCGCGCTTGAACAAGAATATTTGATTGATCATAACTTCGGATATTCCCCAGTTTTAGCGCGGGTATATTTGGTCTTTGATGCGTTTAGATCAATTACGCGCGAGCAAAAATATTTGATGGGTAATAATGCAGAATGAAGTGAACATCCTCTTGAGATTAATTTTGTCAAGGATTTTTTGAGAGAAGATTGATGCAGTTAATAACGGTTAATTTTTTAAGCAAAGTGACGAAATCAGTCGCTAAACGATCGTGAACCAAAATGTTATATTGTTATACTGTTACGGTAGTGGGGTATATTCAGTATCAGAACACTCCCTTCACTGCTATGTCAATCTAATGCTTTACCCCCCTTGAATACTTAAGCTAGATCTGAGGCATGTTCTTAATTACAAACATTTATGTATCATTTTCTGCAGCATCACGAAGAAGTTACCGATGTGCTTGTCCCATAAGTTTCAGTGTTGTCTCCGTGTGGCTCCAGTCGAGAGTCCAAACATCTGACCACCCCGAATATAGGTGCAATACCAACATGATATTTGACAGCCGACAGACATAACTGATCAATTCCTGCTTGAACTGGTCGAGGAATTGTTTGAATATTTTATTGCCGAGAAATTTGACGACAGATATTTTGAAACCTTTATACTGGAAAGCTCAGAGAGGACTGCATGTTTATTAGAAGATCAAAATACGCTCAGAATTTAGCCATGTTGTAAAGATCGGTGAATAGGTCGCGTTGATGCAAAACATGAAGTACTAAGACCATGCCTGCTAAAGAAAAGGCTATTTAAGATAAAAAATATGGAAATGTGCCTTTTGAACATTTCTTTTGGACAGATGGTTAACCTTAAAAAACAAAACCCTTACAATTCATATTGGGACTACTTCCCGGCTAGAATAGGAGTGAATGTCTTCGAAATTCGGGTCGGCAATTATTTTCAGCATGGTTCTGGAACCTAAATAAACAAAAGATACTTAACTTTATCAAAAGGGGAAAAAACTCTCATTTTTTAACCTTATGCGAAAAGATGATGTTCAGTGTTCCTTATAACTGGGGAATGGTATGTCTGAGAAGAAGCTTTAACGGCGTGATGGTGAGATATACATGTTTGAACAACTTTTGTGAAAGCGGTAGGCCACTGACCCCGATATTTGTTCGCAAATGGTATTCTTAAAATGTAAATTTATCTTTACAACAAAAGATATATGTATATATTCACAAACGCTTGTGTTCTTTTCCTGTTGTAAGCAAAAGTGTTCAGCTGCTTGCTTTAAGATTCAAGACTCAGCCAAAAAAAAAATTATTGCCTAAATTAAGGAGGTATTGTACAAAAAAAATAAATGGATACAACACAATAACTGATGATGGCATTAGTTGTGCAGCCAAAACATATCTTTAAAAACTACTTTCGTTAGTTTGAAATTTATTTTGATTCGATTATTCTATAGATTTCTCCCAATGAGCAAACGAGGTAACTCGGTATTATTCCTCAAAAACTGACAATTTGATTGAGCCGGCGACTACGTTAGCATTAGGAGCATTAGGCTCATTAGGCTCATTAGACCATTTGACGTGATGTACCTCTAGCTCTGCTCAGTTGCAAAGGAGAGTTAGTAGGATTTCATACCGCAAGAGAAATCTTAGGAGGAGTTTAGATTAACGATTAATTTTCAATTTGATTCTATTTCCATGAATTTGATTTTTACCAGTGATAGGAAGCCGAGAATCTAAGAACTAAGTTCTCGACCCAGAAAGCGTAAGATTCTCAAGCCACTTGAAAGAAAAGAGTAAACTGCGGGTGACGTTACTACCATAGAGCTCTCTGAAGTTAGACTTGTTCATTATCGCTAAAGTTTGACTCTCTCTCTTGGCGGCAAAATGCGGAACTGCAAAGCGAACGGCTGCTGTACCTGAATGCGCCCGATGGCTCATAGCGTCCCATCGGGAGAACAATCTTGCGCAATAAAACATCACCTCAGAATCCTAAAGCAGCAATTGTGGTGACATCACCAACCCGTTACTTACATC